TCACGGTTATGTCAGTTTCAGCTGAAAGAGCCGACTTCCCTGTTGTATGGGATCCAAGGCTGTGGAGACACTTGAGTCCTCAGACGACATGAAGAATAGAGACTGGCCTCTGCTCAACAAGAGCTTGCAGAGTAGCTACGGTGAGGAGTCTAAGAATTCCATCCATGTTCTTTTCATCTCTCAGACATTACTTTACCTCACCATTGCTTACCTTGCTTTGCAGCAGTAGTCTGGCCCAATTCTCTACCTCAAAGAAAAGTTTCAAGAAATAAAGGGATAATGTTTATGAAAAGTATAAATTGTCTTCTGTAAAATGAACTAATAACAGAAATCTCTGACTGCTACATTTTTCTTACTCTATCTTTTCCTTGAGCAGATTGGGCCAAGCCCTCTGTTTCCCATGCTCTCTACATTGTGTAATATTTTACTGTGTAGTATGTATCTGCGTAATCTGAAGTCGTTAATGCAGTAACAAATCAAGCTCATTGGCATTCTTAGACATTACCTAAAATATGGACGTGGTGTTCTACTCTGTCCTTCCTTAAAAGGTTTGCCATTCTATACTGAAAACTAAATATTTTTATAGATTTTATAAATATTGTCACATTTTTAATATTGTTTTGTACCATTTATGTATTTATATATAATAAAATCATCAACTTTAATACTTGTAAGATTCTGATATGTAGTAATTGTAAAGGTGAAAAGATATAACAACCATGCTTCACTGTTTTAAAATAAAAGTACCATTTGATGTTCCGACTTTTCCCCACTCATTTATACAAGCGGGTTATATTTACATAATTAAGAAATGCATTGAACATTATAAAAGGGACTGGAATGTTGTCACTACTTGCTGAGTAGCTTGCTCAATGTGAGCTTTGGTGACTCCAGGATTTTAGTGACTTTAAGGCCTGGCTGTTTACAGAGTAGTCCATGAACTACCACCCAGGAGCTTATTAAAAATTCAGACTCTCAAGTTTTCCCCTGCACCTACTGAATCAGAATCTGCAATTTAGCTAGATCCCTAGGTGATTCAGATGCACCTAAGTTTAAGAAGCAGTGGTCTAACTTTAAGGCAAAACAGTGGTGACTTAAAAAGAAATAGGGTAGAATCTTATAAAATGAACATCCTCATCCTTCTTCCCCCTTTTGAGAGGAGTTCAAGAGGGAAAAAAGATCAAATATGACCATAATACATCTTTGTGGGTTTATGAAAGGCACCAAGTAATTTAATTACAAATATACTGGACATTGATTTTATAATTAAGCTATTAGAATTTAAAATTTGATTATTTAGTGATAACACATAATACATTAAGTTTAAATGCCTTACAAACTGCTTTAGGAAATCATTTGAGATCAATATATTAGAACTTTGAAAAAAGGCAAAAGTAGCAAAAGAATAATAGCCATTTATTCTTTATTCCTACAAAATTTGGACTTGAAAAACAAAAAGTGGAAACTTATTATTTTTCAAGTTATGAATATTATTCAAGTGACTTTATGCTAACAATTTACTAATTACATTTGGGGTGATTAAATTTCAAAAGATTTAGGTTTAAATATAATTCTTAAAACTATTATATGTTTTCACATAAAATACATACTTAAAAAAAGAAACTTCCAGCCAAGATGGAGGTGTAGGTAGACACACTCCCTCCTCACACAACCAAATTAAGGACAAAAATTTAGAAACAAAAAAACCAACCAGAACTGACAGAAAGTTGAGCTGTGTGGTAGCCCGACAACCAAGGAGTTAGACACATTCATCCAGACCAGTAGGAGGGGCGGTGTTGGGCGCTGAGCGGAGAGGGGTTGCAGCAAAAAACAAAACAAAACAAAAAAACGGTGGCTTCCAGACCCCGGTGCACAAGGCAGTGGCTGGCAGACCTGGGCACACAGGCGGCAGCTGGCAGACCCATTGAGGCACCCAGGGTGGCTGGCTGACCAAGCAGTCACACATTCATGTGCAGACAAACCAGGTGAAGCTGGGGAGTGAGACAGACCTGGGAGCCCAGGGTCCCAGCCAGGGGAAATAAAGCTTCAGAAAACCTTCAAAACTCTGACAGAAAACACCTGTGGGGGTTGAGGCACAGGGAAAGACTCCCAGCCTCACAAGAGAGTTCACTGGAGAGATCCACAGGGTCCTAGAATGTACACAAGCCCGCCCACCCAGGAATCAGCACCAGAAGGGCCCAGTTTGCTTGTGGGAAGCAAAGGAAGGAACTGAAATCTGAGAGAGTGGAGCAAGAGCCATTGTTAACTCTAGGACCCTGCCCCCACAGACTGCATCACAACCCAGCGACTGGGCTGACCCGCCCTGGTGAACACCTAAGGCTCTGCCCCTCATGCATAACAGGAGCAACAAGACAAAAAAAAAAAAAGAAAACAAAAAGGCCCAAACCGGAGAACAGATTAAAGCCCCAGGGCAAATACTTTTAAGCGATGAAGAGATAGCCAACCTATCAGATGCATAGTTCAAAGCACTGGTGATCAGGATGCTCACAGAATTGGTTGATTTTGGTCAGAAATATGATGAAAAAATAAAGGCTACACTAAGTGAAATGAAGGAAAATGCACAGGGAACCAATAGTGATGGGAAGAAAACTGGGACTAAAATTAACAGTGTGGACCAGAAGAAAGAAACAACCAAACAGAAAAGAATGAAGAAACAAGAATTCAAAAACATGAAGGGAGGCTTAGGAACCTCCAGGACATCTTTAAACTTTAAACGTTCCAACATCTGAATTATAGGAGTACCAGAAGGGAAAGGAGAAGAGGAAGAGCAAGTGGAAAAGTTATTTGAACAAATAATAAAGGAGAACTTCCCCAAGCTGGCAAGGGAAATAGACTTCCAGGAAGTCCAGGAAGCTCAGAGAATCCCAAAGAAGTTGGACCCAAGCAGGAACACACCAAGGCACATCATAATTACATTACCCAAGATCGAAAAGAAGGAGACAATTCTAGAAGCAGCAAGAGATAAGGGGACAGCCACCTACAAAGGAGTTCCTATCAGACTGTCAGCTGATTTCTCAAAAGAGACATAACAGGCAAGAAGGGGCTGGAAGGAAGTATTCCAAGTCATGAAAGGCAAGGACCTCCATCCAAGATTGCTCTATCCAGCAAAGCTTTCATTTAGAATAGAAGGGCAGATAAAGTGCTTCTGAGATAAAGTCAAGTTAAAGGAGTTCATCATCACCAAGCCCTTATTATATGAAATGTTAAAGGGACTTATCTAAGAAAAAGATAAAAACATATATAGTAAAATGACAGCAAACTCACAATTATTAACAACCACACCTAAAGCAAAAACTAAGCAAACTAGAACAGGAACAGAACCACAGAAATGGAGATCCCATGGAGGGTTAGCAACAGGGGAGTGGGAGGAGAGAGGGGGAAAAGGTACAGAGAATAAGTAGCATAGATGGTAGGTAGAAAATAGACAGGGGGAGGGTAAGAACAGTATGGGAAATGTAGAAGCCAAAGAACTTATGACACATGGACATGAACTAAAGGGGGGGAATGTGGATGGGAGGGGGTGTGCAGGGTAGAGGGAATGAAGTGGGGGAAATGGGACAACTGTAATAGCATAATCAATAAAATTTTTTTAAAAGGGCCTTTGCCTGATAAAGTAAAAAAAAAAAAAAAAAAAAAAGATACCTGGGACAGATCTTTATGTGTATTTGAGGTTCTCAACTAGGGATATTATGTTCACATTAATATACTCCTTCACCAAAAAAAAAGAACCTTTCAACAGCTCAGTTATAAAACTGAATTGGTGCGTCCAAATTATGGTAGTAATAATTTTTTAGTTATACTCTATAGAAAAAATTTTAATGCAGTTTAGGTGGGGCTCAAAGCTTCCTTAATACTCTTCAATGATCATTACCTTTTTGTGCTGGTCAGGGTGTTTGTAGGTATTCAGGGAGGATTTTTCTTTAAAGAAACCCATAGTATATATTTTCTTTACTACATAAATCATTTGAGCAGTACCACAAACTAACTTCCCATTAGTAATGAGGGAAGGGATTAAAGTTGAACATACTGTTTTACAAGAATTTAGATATTTTGTTCTAAGGCAATCTGGGGAGTGTATTTGCATCTTTCACATTAGTATTAAATCTTGTCAAGCACTATGGGTTTAGTAGTATAAATTTCAGTAAGGACTCATTTCTTATAATTAGCTGCCTGCATATACAAGTTTTCACGGCAATCGGACTGTCAAGAGAACACTCTAGATTACAAAAGGTACCTGTTAACAGATATTTTTTTCTGGTGAAATAACTCAATAACTTTTTAATGGAAGATATAGTATCAAAAAATTAGACAACTTAGCCCTGGCTGGTGTGGCTTAGTGGATTGAGTGCTGTCCGGCAATCAGAGGGTCTCTGGTTCGATTCCCAGTCAGGGCACACACCTGGGTTGTGGGCCAGGTCCCCAGTAGGGGGTGTGTCAGAGGCAACCACACAGTGATATTTCTCTCCCTCTCTTTCTCCCTCCCCCTCTCTAAAAATAAATAAAATCTTTAAAAAAAAATTAGACAACTTAGACAAGATTTGTTGATACAAGACATCAGGAGTGTGCAGTGCTAAGAGCAGACAAAAACTGTCTTTAGAAGATGGCAAATTCTAGCTATTATACTTTATCAAACTATTAACATTTTAAATGATAAATAAAGCCTTACCAAATCAGCATACCAAAGGTTACAAAGAAATAGGATTTAGGAATGCTGAATTTCTTTTTTGAAATTCAAAACATCTCTAGTAACTAGAGAAGTTTTTTTATAGATAAATACACTAAATTTTAAAAATGTCAAATGATGTACCAAGGCAACATAAGTTTCATGGCTAGAAAACTATCCCTCTACTTTCCTGATATTACTGTAAACTAAAGAATCACAATATGGTCCTAGAATCTCAAAACTAATATATCAAACACATCTGATACCTGGGGCTTTCTGAAATAAGTTTTTAGAAGTTTATTTTACAAGTGGAGAATGAACTTTTTAAATGTGTTTACTAACAATTTCCCCCTAAAGATATAATTTAGACATATTTTCAAAGCAAAAGAATCATCAGAATAGAAGATGAGCATAACAGCAGCCTACATAGCTTCTCTTGGGTTATGGATCTCCCTCCCTCTGACGCTGGGAACATGAGTGAGACAGGCGCTCACTCGGATAATGGTTACACACACATGATTTTGTATTGGTTTCCCAACCAATGGGGATTTGCTACAGTCAAGGCTCTCTAAGCCTTCATTATTTGTATGTAAGTCCAGAGAAAACCAATGTGTCAATTTACGATTGAGTGGTCATGATCGCGGCAAATGGTACGCTTCCAGTGAATAAACACGTGTCAGTCATTGCGGAGGCACTTTAGGCCTCTTTAATGCCCACTCTGCTGGACAAACCCTTGTCAGTACTAGGGAGTCAAACTTAAATGGAATACAGTATTCAGAAGGTAACGCACATGAGGGTTCTAATCCAGATGACTGTAGCCTACATGCATCCCTTGCCCCTCAGTAAAGTACACTGATTCCAGACATGTGTCCCACAGGCACCATGATTCCTTTTCCTTGGTCAGTGGAGAAATATAGTTTGTACTTCCCCAAAGTACCTTTACCTGTCTATCCATGAAAAAAACATCCTTTAAGGTTGCCTGACTGACTTTGAATATATAATTCACAAGTTTACAAACTTTTCCAATGACTACATTTCAGTTTGTAATCAGGAAATGTTTGAGGGAATGTCTGCATTTCATAGGTTAACCATTGTAAATTCATTGTTGGCCAAGTTAGTGTGGTGGGCAGTTTGCCTGTGGAGAGCAATTCCAAAACTACGAGAACACGCCTGCTGGTGCAAATCCACAGGCGGTACTTCTTTCTCGTCCTTCTCTCGATATTTCAGGACCTCATACTGCTTCATTGCCCATGACCACAAACCACAAAGGATTACTGGAAATAAAAAGAGTATGTGTAGCATCAAATTGGTCCTTTCTTCCATTCTTCACAAAGGCCCAAACATCTCAATGGTTAAGTTTTCAGTAAGATTTATAACTGCCTAAAATAATCCTATGAAATTTCCTTACTAGAATGAAGAGTCATTGACTTAGTTGAGGATAGGGTAACAACAAGCAACAATGTATAACAAAAATTTAGCAAAGAATACACATCAATTGATGTTTCCCTAAATTTTGTCAGGTTTTAAAATGACTTTTTTTTTATTGCAAAGGAATAGGTTTAAACACAGAAAACATAATGTAGTCCAGTCCATTATCTACATATTCTTCATCTTGGCCATGAGATCTTCCAAGCTTTCACCAGAATCTTCCACTGTTACCTGAGGTACGGAATCTTCTTGCTATCAACAAAGGAGGAAAGCATAGTGAAAAAAAATAACCATATACAATTCCTGATGCTTAGAAATACATAATCAGTAAGCTTTAACCATGTTCAACAACTTTACAAAATAAATTTTTTTTAGGAAATATGCCTTCTAATTTTTAGGAAAGACAAAGTCCTTTTACTTTCCACATCAGTCTTTTAATTAACAAGCAGTAATTTCAACATTCCTGAGGTATCTACTAAAAGTGGTACTTTTAAATGGTACTGTGGCTAAAACTACCAACTTACAAAAATATTTTCATTTTATCAAAATCTATTTTACCCGATCCATTAATGAGTGAACAAAGTTTAAATGTGCTGTGCACACATCCATATTAGCACTGAATACTTCTCTCACACATCTTAATACCTATAGTGTGAAATATCTAATACAGGAAATAACACATTGGCATTTTTAATAAAGTTGGGTGCAGATGACAGATAAACATTTTCTCTGATATAGCATTTACTTCTGGTAAATCAGATTTTAGATGTACCTTTTTGGGAATTGTGTAGGCCACTGTGATTCCTTCAGGTAAGTTGGGAACTGGACCTGAAGATTTTTTCAGTTCCTCTTCTGAAACCTCAGATACCAACTCAATACCTGCAGAGGTAAATTTGACCTTTTAACAGTTTTAAAGGAACTTAATAAGCAATAAGAACTCAAAACGTGTATACCCTTAATTATAATTAGATTCCTTAATTATGTTTTAGGCTGCCCTTCCAACTTATGAAAGGCTTCCTACCCCACTCATTGTCTTCATGTATTATCTCCTCCTCTTCCTGAACAGCCTCCTGTTTGGGCAGTGCCGCCACTTTTTTCTGTAGAAATCAAACAGTGTCAAAGCATTTGTATTCATTCTCAGTTCTCTGACACATTATTAATCAAGAATTCAGACAGGCTTTTTATCCTACTGAAAGCAAAAAGAACTTTGAACAGAATTTTTATTTTGAAGCATGATAAATAAAAGTTTTAAGTACCCAGAATCCAATTATCATTCCAAATCTAAACAATTTTTTCTTTTCAAAGTTATTATCCTGTGCAAAACGCTGTCTCATACATTCTGACAGACTGACATGTACCTTATATTCTTCCTGCTGTTTCCTGCAATTTCTGTCATCACACTGAGGATTTGGCTTCATGGACATAGTAGGAAAAAAATCCTGCATTGCATTGTATCCGAGGTAAAAACTAACAGTACCAAAATTTAACAGAAACCTAGAGAAACAAATCAAAGTAGACTTAAATAAATAAAAGGATGAAAGTATTAAAAGAAAGTAATTGGATTTTTAAAAAACAATTTTGAAATAAGTAATGAGTTTTGCAACAAGAAAAGAGAAATTTATTGTCTTGTTTACAGGGCCTCGCTCATAGAAAATATTTGTTGAATGACATCAAGAAAAGATTACTTTCATCAATCACAGAACTCTTGTTTTTTCAATCTCTAATAAAGACAAAATGCTGCCAATTAAACTATGGTATGTTAACAACTTTAAGAAGCACACTGATTTCAGAGATTAAAATGTCAAAGAAGTATATCTTAAAAATTCCTGAGATATGATACTAAATCTAATTTAAAAAAATTTTTTATATATAACTTACTATAAAGTTTACAATCTTAAAAGTAAAGCTCAATTAAATTTTATAAAAGTCTTCATCCATATAACTACTACCAGATCAAAACACAGAATATTTTCAGTATACATAAAGCTTCCTGTGCTTCCCCCCAGTCTAATCTGATTCTTTTTGAAGCTTACATATAGAGGAAAAATGATACAAGATAAACAACAAAAGGAAAAATATTTTCAAATGTATGTTCTTAATATAGAACAAGGAAAAGCAAAAAAACTGAGTGAAGAATATGAGCAAATCACAGAAAAAGTGTTCAAATTATCACAAATATAATTAAAAGAAATATCCATTTTTTACATGTCCTATGGACCAAGATTAAAGAGTTTTATGATGTCAAATGATATCAAAGGTGTAGGCAAACCAGGTATTCCCACACTGTGATGGAAATGTACAATCCCTTTGAAAGAGAAATTTAGTAGTATCTGTCAAAATAAATTTTACATAAATTTTGATAATATATGACAAGATGTTGTTTGCAGCATTATTAATAATAGCAAAACATCTGTAAGTAGCCTAAGTGTCCCTCAATAGAGGGCTTGCTAAATATGACATCCGTGAGAGAATACTTCACAGCCATGATTCTTTTCCCCTTTCCGTGTCATTCTACGAAGTGTTTTGTTTAGATGGGGCCTACTGAAGTTTGTGCAAGCTGTCTGCTCTTATATAAAATAGCTCCAGACAGTTGCCTTGAGAGTTCTTATGTATGCTTTTTATAATACCTTTGCTGGCAGTGGACACTTCTGATATCAGAGTACCTCCCTATATCACGTCGCAGCCTCTTCTTATTGTGTTGAAGGTTTAAGAAACATAATAAGCTTATTAACATTGTCAAGTGACAAAAAAAAAATGACCTGAGAGAGGGAGCACCTAAAGGAGTTCTACTTTTAATTGTGAGTTGATTCAAAAACTCTTTGACATTAATTTCAGTTTTGAAGAAACTTTTGTCTTATTTAGTTACAGTTTAGATCTGAAATTTTCAGCCAGTGTGCCCCAAGAATTTTTAAAGTGTGCAGTACCTGACTAGACAGGGGCACTGAGCTCTTTTCCCTGAGGTTGTCAAATAAAAAATGACCATAGCCAACACAACAATAGCCATCCTATGTGAATGAGTCAAAATTATACCCATTTTTGTCAGATCAGAAAAAAATATACTTTTTGGTGTGCTGCAGAATTTTAGTAATTAGTTTATGTGTGCCATGAGATGACAAAAGTTGAAACTCATTCTTAGCTGGTGTGGTAGCTGGATATTTGTTTTGGGATAACAGAGATATTACCCTGGTTAATGTTTAATCACACTCACATTACTTTCAGTAAGAGTTAAATCAAGAGAGTTGAAACACGTGAGTTTATGCCTAAGTCTCCAACCTTTGGGCAAACCTGTAGATATTTGTATTATTTGGTTGAGTCACATATAAATACACCAGTACCATTATACCATTTAACAAAAGCTTTTCCAAATGCAGGCAGTGATACAAATGTGTATGCATATTAATATATTATACATATTAATAATTATACAGTTGAGCCTTGAATGACACAGGTTTGAGCTGCACGGGGTTCACATATACGTCTTTTTTGTTTTTTTCAGTAACTACATAGTCAACCCTCTGTATCCCCAGGAATCTGCAGATGCAGAGGGCCGACTATATCCCTTGTTTGATACCACTTTATATAAGGGACTTGAGCATCCTCTGATTGGGGGATCCATGGGGGTCCTGGAACCAATCCCCAGTGGATACCAAGGGACTAGTATTAACTAGTTACATTTTGGGGGGAATCAAAAGCTATATGTGGATTTTTGACTTCACAAGGGTAAGTGCCCTAACTCTTACACTGTTCAAGGGTCAACTTTCCATTTAAATTATGTCTATTAATGTATATTAAATACAAATTAAAAGTATACAAATACTTTTTTATTTTAAATACTATTTAAAATAAAAAATATATGTATATTTAAGACAAAATTTCAAAATCTAAATTAAATATTTACCTGGTCATTCCAATACTTAAAATACTTCTTAAAATATCTTTTTTTTTTTTAATCAAAAGACATGAGACTATTCAGAAAAATTAGGCTTCACTCACTTCAACACATTTTGTACCAGGATGCCAGCAACCACTCCCATCGTGGTAGGAAGGCTGGCTGCACAAACACCCTCTCGCTTCAGAGTCTTTTCATCAATATTGGCAGCAACCACCAGTGGTGGGGCACACTGCAGGAAGAAGAATAAAAGAGTATATGTCAAGACAGGGAAAGTGTGTATGTTCCAAATAGTGTTCCACCGTATTCAGTTTGTTTTTTCTTTGAACTGTAATACACTTTCAATGTGTGTAGGAACTGCAGTACTTAATGGTGAGCAATAACCCTAAGTGAATTATGCATACCGCAAAACAAGCAGATTCTCCGGGAATTATGAGCTGTATGTGCCCCGAAACTGCATTTTCACTGACCCCAGACTCCATCCACGTATGTCCGAGTTCATTACAAGCCTTGGTAGAAATAGGTAAAAGTAAAAGAAAGAACATAAAAAAGCAAGAAGTAGTTTACCATAACTTCTTTTCATGAAAAAGGTTGAACTAAATGTATTTTATGTATTAAGTATAAGTTAATAAGTGTAATAAGTGTAAATTAATTTTATTCCGAAATTAACTTTCAGAGTAAAAGAGGTAAGTTGTAAATAATGGAATTCCTAGGCCATTGTCACTCTGTTTGAAGGTGAGCAGTCAATAAATAGTCTAATTAAATTGAAGCATAGTTCACTGAATTTCTTACTGATGTAAAACTTCATTTTTCTAAAATTACTTCAGCAATAAAAAATGCCAAATGTCATTTGAAAAGCTGAAGACACAATACTTTAAAAAGAATTCCGTTTTATTTTTGAGAAACCATTTTTAAAGGCAATTTATATATATTTCTACATTTACTTAAAAATAAAGTAACGAAAGTTAAAACCAAAGCTGACAAAGAATAACAGTATTGTAAGATGTTCCTTTATTTTAAAAATTGTACCTCACAAGTATCTGCTATTCTATAGTTTCCTCTACTGGCACATGAGAGAGTAGGGCGTTGAAACATATGCCCCAATAGCAAGGCTAGACAGATGCCCCAGCCATTAGAGTACATTTCGAAGGTAGGCGAAGGGAACATTAAGAATAAATAAGGCACATTATAAAAGGGTTTAAATGCAGAACTACTTTTAGGATGGGGAACATACACGGATAGAACATACAGGAAAATAGATAAATCTGTAAGTACATTTTACACGATAGGAATACTCACTGTATTTATTGCCATTCGAGCTTCAAAATTGTCCACACAACTAAGAACTAGGTCAACAGGTTTTCCCTCTTCTAATCCACCATTACTAAGAAAATAAATTTTATTAGGAAAAAAATCAGGACACAAAATACATTCTAACTTACCTGTTCAGGCACACGTTTATTGTTTCAGTAAATGTTTAAGTATAATTTTGAAATAGTAAGTAATATTGAAGATCCAGTATAAAGAGTATTAAGTAACTATTGATAGAATATCAATGATAGTTCAGCACTTCTTACACGAGACATACAAGGATGCAAGTATAAAGTCTACTTACAAAAGTTACCATTTACCTACTAGCTTTCAGACTCTTATTCAAATGTAGTAAAAAGTTAATTGAATACAACTCATTATTTCAGTGGTAATAGAGTCTCTAGAAAACCACTTTCAGACAGAAATATATTATAGAACACAGAATATATAATTGAGGATTCCTTGTTAGACTATTATGATAATAGGGTTTTTTTGGTTTGTTTTTATTTTGTTGTTACCATTGTATTTTGGACAATATATACACTTTTAACTGAGCTCCCACTATATAAAAACTACACAAAAATTAACTTTTAAAAACAAAAATATATTTCATTCCATTAACTCATTAATTAATCATCAGTATCTTCTCTAATAATACTTGTTTCACTAAGCTGGACATTGTGCAAAATATTCACAGATAAAATTTTACCTTATTCTATCCATGAAATGTTGGAAGTTTTCTACTGTAGTTATATTATAGTTGTGTACTTCAAAAAGAACATCAGGATTAATGTTCCTAAGAGAGAACAAAGGAATGAGTATAAAACCTACTAGTAAGAACAGTAAGAGAAGGCAGGAAAAAAACCTAAAGATCACTTAACAGAGATCACGGAAACAGAATTCAAGCTACTCAACGAAAATCCTAAGGAGTCTTCTATCTCTTAATACATAGATTATCAGAAGGCTTACAAAAATGTTCCCACAATCTATGTGCTGAAAATGAAGCCTTATCAACTCTGTTAGCTACATCTGGGCCTGACAAAAGAGTTTCTTTGTTCCTTCACTCAGTTCAGTGCAAGTGTGTCTGGGCCCACAGAGAAACATCCTGGAATAAGGGCTGGCCTACCGTGGCCTTTAAGCCAAAACCGACCTGCCACCTGTTTTTGTAAGGTCTGCAAGCTAAGAATGGATTTACATTTTTAAATGGCTGCAGGAAAAAAAAGTCAAAAGAACAACAATTATTTCATGATATATAAAATATATAAAATTTTAATTTCAGAGCTCATAAAGTTTATTGAAACAAAGCCATGCTCATTCATTTTTATATTGCCTACAGCTGCTAAGGCATAGTTGAACAGTTTTGAAAGAGGTCATATGGCCCTCAAAGCCTAAAATATTTACTATCTAGCCCTATATAGGTAAAGGTTTCCAATCCAGATCCAAGAGATAAGATAATCTTTCATATAAGTGAAACCTGCATTTTTATAAAGAAAAAGTCAGATCCATTTATACATTAGGTTAACTCATACCAAATACACAAAGTAAGATTTCAATAAATATGGTCTTTAATTGCTATTCCATTTACCTCAGAGTATGTTCTGCTGCTTGAACTTTACTTAATCCTGCTTGATGAGGTTGGAAGAAAAGTCTATTCATATTGGCCAGTTCCACTTTGTCATAGTCAAAGAGTAGCAACTAAAACAAAAATAGCAGTATTCTGATGAAAAGCATAACACAGAATGAAATAGTAGGCTTTACATTTGATGGGTTTAACAGTTTGACAGTAATAATAATAAACTCTGAAACACTGGGTGCCATATATTAACTCATTTAATGCTCATAGGAGGTAAGTGTTCAATACATACATACTGTTATCCTCATTTTAGAAATGAGATTAACTAGAGCACCTGCTCAAAAGCCATCCAGCTAAGTTGTAGTGGAAAAGGGATTCAAGTCTGGACATTCTCAGCCCAGCACCTGCACCCTGACCATGATGCTGTACTGTCTTCCCAAATGATTAATGATCATTCCATTTCATTCCAAGTTCTTGCTAAAAGCCAAGAACCCATTAGATAAATACAATTTTCAATAAGATAAAAATAAATGCCATAACTTAAAACTATAGTATAGTATGACTCATTTTGTGTATATGACACTATAAGTAACCATGCCATGGCTAGAGCATTATTCCAAAAAGAATTACTAACTAATCACTTCCTGTTTGCTGCTATATATTTGGGCATGACAGTGTCTGTTTCTCCCTCTCTCTCTCTCTCTCTCTCTCTCTCTCTCTCTCTCCCTCTCCCTCTCTCTCACACACACACACACATACACACACAACTTTAACAGGAAAATGGGCCCAAAGATCCTATTTCTCATCAGTAAGAACAGGTTGGGCCCAAGGATTTCCAAAGTCCCTTCTTTGATCTAAAATTCTGTGACTTTGTAATACAACTCCCAGCATCTTAAATTTAACAATAAAATAAAAAATGAATTTTTCTTCTTCTCAATATGGAAACTAAAAAAAATTAACCCAGTGCATAAAAACAACTCCTAGGTAACCCTTAAAATCTTGCTAGAAAAGATATCACTTGTGTCCCCTATGACAATTTTCTAACCCCAGAGTCTCCAAAATATGATTTATTTAAGCTCATTCAACAATATTTATTAGATCAGGCCAAGCATTAAGTTTGAGTGTCGGCCTCACAGCCAATTTATGAGTAAAGTGCAGGAAACCCTAAACTTGGAGACAGGAGGAGTGAGTTGTAACACTGACATTAATTAGCTCTGATCATGGGTGAGTCACTTTCACTTTTTAGGCCTGTATCCTCATCTGTAAAATAAAGCAGCTGGTCTGGATCTGGGGATCCAAGGAGTGCTAGAGATTCCAAAAACTTTTGGTGATAAAAAGTGGGCTCTGGCTCTCTAACCCTGCACTTCTCTACTTACCTATGTAGATCCTTAGGGTACAACCTTAAGTGCGCATTGGAATCACTTGGGGAGTTTTAAAAAAATACAGATGTTTGGGTCCCATTCCCAGAGATTGTGATTAACTTATTATGGGATGCAGTCCAGATATCAGAATTTTTTAAACTTCCCCGGTAATTCTAATTACAGCAGTATTGGACAGTCACTGTTCTAGACACTTGATACTCAAAGTGTGCCCTGGGCTAGCATGGGCATCACCTGGAGCTTGGGAATATACAGGAGCACTTCCCCAAGTTTAATATGCATACAAGCCATCTGGAGATGTTGTTAAAATATAGGTCCTGATTCAGCATGCCTGGGGTGGGGCCTCAGAATCTGCATTTCTAATAAGCTCCCAAGTGATGCTGATGCTACTGCTTCAGGGACCATACTTCAAGTAGCAAGGATCCAGATGTTCTTAAAGTGCCATCCTTGCAACAACATCAAAATCACTTGAGAACTTGATAAAAATTCAAATTCTTAGGTCCACCTGAAACTTTCAGGATCAAAACCACTGGGGTAGGGTCTGGTAATTTTTGGTTTAATGAGCCTTCCAAGGGCATCTGACACAGTCAAACCTGAAAACCACGGGTCCCCAGGACCTGTGCTGCCCTCGGCCGTCCGCCAGAGCACTTCCTTCAGCTATCAGCAGCTGATGGCTGGCTTTTGTGAGCCTCTTCACAGACTTTACAATGTTAATAAACATTTTTAGTATTTTGGTGTTGTCTTGTTTATATTGATAAATGAGTGACAACTTTGAAATTTCTTTCTTTTACAAATTTGGCATGTGGAGTGAACCAACATATTAAAAAAATACTGATAAACTTTATGGAAAAATGTATTCTTTATCAAAATGACAAATTAAAGTGTACATAATTTGTGGAGAGTTTATGTATTCAACCACTATATATCTAACATCATGGACTCCAGCTTTGTAAGTCTAAGACTGGTAGATTGATCCCTGGAATAAAGTTACTTCTCCTTCCAATCCACAATCTAAGCCAATTTTAGAAAAAAATAAAATAAATATATATGGGTTTAAAAAACCTGGACCATTCTCCAGTTCAATTTTAAACACTTAAGTCCAAGTGGTTTATACATTACCCCAAACAAAAAAGTGCCCGAACACAATTAGGTAGTCCTTGTTTAATCAGCATTAACACCAGCTTCCATTTGGGTGGGGCCATGTCTTAGCCCCCTTGGGTAGAAAGAACGATCTGAATAAATACACCACAAATCAATAAACCATTAGTAATAAGGGGAGAAAAATGCTAATTTGTACCTGATTTACTCCAGAAGTGAGTAGTTCTCTACCTAATAGGCAAAGAGAAATGTTTTTACCTTACCAATGCCACATCTCGTCAGCATTTCAGCAGTCACACTACCAACTCCACCAACACCTACTATTGCTACAGCAAAGGTACGGATTTTCTGTAAAATGCAAAATTATATGTCTTGGTTCATAAGTTTTCATCAAAAATTATTTTCATTTATTGCAATCATCTTCAAAAAACTTGGGAAGTTTTATCATACCTCATAGTCGCTTACAATTCCCATTCGTTTCAATGCCATCAGGCGGCTTAAAACAAAGAAAAAAATGTTTTAAAGGTTACAACCTTAGTAACATAGGTAAACATACATCACAGAAAATAGACACCAAAAATCAGTCATTACTAATACATTAAAAGAGAAAAAATCTTTCAGCTGGGTTTTACCAGATGAAACTAAATCACCAGGTCAGCTTTAAAAACACTAATGACTACCTTCCCAGACCATGCAACAAGATTTTTTTAAAGATTTTATTTTTATTTATTTTTAGAGAGAGGGGAAGGGAGGGAGAAAGAATGGGAGAGAAACATCAGTGTGTGGTTTCCTCTCAAGTACTCCCTGCTGGGGACCTGGCCCACAACCCAAGCAAGTGCCCTGATTGGGAATTGAAACACCGACCCTTTGGTTCGCAGGCTGGCACTTAATCCACTGAGCCACATCAGCCAGGGCACAACAAGATTTTTTTTAATTGGAAATAATTTCACCTCAAAATTTCTAAGCTATAACTCCAGTATCTTCTGGAACTTCACGATTTGCCTTAGTGAGAATCTATTTTCATCTATTGTGCTGAGTACTTAGTGGACACTATCAAATTGGGTGCACATTCTTCAGTTCTGAGAAATTTCCTTGAAGAATCTGATGGTTTCCTTGTTTGTTTGGTTTGTTTTCCTGAATCATCTTTCTGGAACTCATTATTTGGAAGTTGAACCACTTGGACTGGTCCTCTACTCTTATCTCCTTTCTCCTTATTTTCCATCATTTTAGTTTTCTGTTCTATTTTCTGGACTTTTTTTTAACTTTGTTTTCCAACTTTCCTATTGAATTTTCATTTTTGTTATTCCCCACTTTCAAGAATTCTTTTTAATCATCTAAATGATTTTTATTTTTTGGTATCACCTTGCTCTGTTTCATTTACAAAATGCCATCTCTCATCTGGGGGTAATGATAATGTTGGGGATGTGTTCCCCTTACATCGTCTATTCAAGTTAACGTTTTTATGTTGTTTCTTTCGTGAGAGGAGCTTCTCTTTTCCTTTGTTCTGCTCATACTTAGCCAGACACTAATAAAGGCAGAGATGTGGGCTATCTTGTTTGACTTTGGGCTTCACTGTAGGGTGATCTGGCTGGGCTATTTAGTTGAAACCCACAATGTCACTGTCATTCTTTCTTCTTGGCTCTATCAGATTCCCTAAAGAAGAATCTTTCAATTTCCAGCATGACAGGTGTGTATGGCTGTTTTGTGGGGGTGTTAATGGGAAGAGCAAGGCTGGGAGTCCTAGCATTCAGTATGTAAACAAAGGCCTGCTTCAATTAATAGAAATCCTCTATTTTACTCTCTTTAATGAGTAAATCTCTAGTCTTCATGTAGAGAAGAGGCATTAGATTACCTCAGCTACAAAAAAGTGATATAGGAAACCTGGGCTCTGTTTATTCAACATACTTTCAACCATATCTTTTTTAGTACTACCTTAAGCCCTTGTAGAAGTACCTATGCCCATTCCTAAGCCTTTGGGGGATTCTGTGATGTAAACTGTAGGCTTAAGAGTCGACTTCACTGGATCCATTAAATCAGTTATCAGTCATTCATCCCTTTTCTAGTTTCTAAAATTTTGTTACTATAATCTTCAAGTACAGGGACCCCCCCATCCTGATTATTAATAGAAACCCTCTACTGTCATTTTGGTGGGACTAGGTAGACAGTGATAATAAATGCCTGTGACCAATCTGCCATCTTTACCTTGATGCTCTCTTTAGTCTTCATAAGTAACCCTGAGAAGAGTGTACTGCAACCCCCTTTTACAAATGAGGAAAAAGATTCAGGTTAATTAACTTTCCCAACATCAGCTAACTGGCAAACAAGGATCAGAGCTGGGTTTTTAAACTAGTATTTGAAACCAAGTTTTCTCATTTTAAAGCCTCTGCTCCCCCTTTCAATTTTCTCCATATGCTTATAATTATGTTCTACTTCACATAATTTTACCGTTATTTGTGTTATTGGATCATTATTTCACAACCACTGAGTCTCTCAAACTAAAGCAAAATGTCTTTGAGGGTCTGAGGCTTTATACCTCTTTTGTGTCACTCGATGCAGTTAAATGATGTAGAACACCTACAAACCCCTCTCCTGTATTTTTTGATAACCTTGTACTTTATCGTAATTCTTACCACTCACACTGCAATCCCATGTTTAACTTTCTATCTCACACTCATCTTGTAATCTCTGGAGGGAAATGAGCACGTTTACTTTGTATTCCCCAGTGTCTGTGCCTAAGGAAGGGGCAATAAATGGTAGATAATACCATCCTGGAGGGCAAGAAATGAAAAGGTGCTCACTAAATGTTTGCTGAAGGAACATTCAGAAAATTAAGGTTGACCTTTATCAAATTCCCATGTACTAATGAAGAGCTTTGGGTGAAAACTGCCATCTTCTATGTAGCAGTTTTAATAAACACAAATGGTGCAAATAAGATAGAAAATACTAAATGTATTTGAGTTTTGAAGGTTTGGTTGTGATTAATACAATGTCAATGGATTGTCTCACTTTAAAATCATGCCTGAAAGATGATTCTAAATCTATGATCCACATCTCCTTGCCTTCCATTCTTGAATGGAAAAAATTCAAAGTTTTCATTTGTAAAATTACAAAATGTTTAAGGATGCCAAATGGAACAGTTTCCCCTCATTCTTATTAGAGATATCAGTTCATACTTATTCAAACTCTCAAAATTTTGGATCGTAAACCCTTCATACTTGGAAACAGTCAAAATACACGCACCCTGTCAATTATATCTCAATAAAATTGAAACAAAAAGGAAAAGAAGCAAGTAGAACTAAGACAACATGCTAATTTATTTGAGCTGATGAATGAGGGAAAAACAAGAACCTGGAATGATTTCATTTGATTTGGGTTAATATGAACTCTTCTGTAATGATGGAACAATTAGAATTTTGTCAGGTTTCTCTGTTTATAAACATTGTATTTAAAATCTTTGTGCCTAAATACTAATTTTCATTTTACATTGGTTAAAAAATTCTTGCACTCCAAAACTTCCTCTGAGGCTTTTTATGTCATAAATAAATTTTAAAAAATTTAAAAATCCAAACTCTCCTGCTCTTTAAAGGAAAAGAACAGTACCATCTTTTCTTTGTCACCTACTTTAAAGCTTTTCACCTACTATCCAAATTTTAGCCACACTACTTAGTGGCTTATTTATTTTTACTGGGGAGACAGTTCCATGTGAATTTTGAAATAAAATAAATCTAATGCCAGTTCAGGCCTTACTATATACTACTAGCTCCCTGACCTGACGCAAGTCACAACAGCTCTTTAAGCCTCAATTTTCTCATCTATAAAATGGGTAAAATAGCAGTGGCCATCTCCTATGGTTGTGGTGGGGAGGAAATCATGAGTGATGATGCATGAAAAGTGCTTAGCAGGTAATGAAAGCTCAGTTAACGTTAGTATATACAACTGAGCAATAAAGTCTTGTACAAAGCTTAGCATGTACAAACTCTTTTAAGAATTTTACATATACTGACGTTTCCAATCCTCACAACTCTGACAGAAAAAGATATTACCATTATCCCCATTTTACAAGTGAGAAGTCGAAGCAGACATGTTCATAACTGACCCAAGGTTACTCAGCTACTAAGAGCTGGGATTTAAATCTAATTAATCTGACTCTAGAGATGTTACTCTTAACCGGTGCGCTGTATTCGGCTGCTGACTTAACAAACTTGAGGAAACGAAGAAAGGAGGAGGGGACAGAACAGGTAAAATCCAATGGCTTTAGAACTAATCAAGCTATTCCCACCACGCCCCCAATTTAAGAAACATTAAGAAGCCTTTACGAAACTCAGAACTCGAAGGTTATGTTTAGCGGGTTTTACATTTGATGTCACCTTTTGAAAGCTGTTACTATCCATTTTATGAGGCTGAATGATACAGCCAGGAGCGGTAGAAAACTGCATACGTGTCCTGGGCATGCACAGGAGCAGTACCATATGGCTGATTCACTTGTTTGGGGGTTCTGCTTTGTTTTTTGTTTGTTTATTTGTTTGTTTGGTTTTTTAAGCGAAAGAACATCTTTTGACCCGTGCTAAGGCTTAGCCTTGCCTGTTGGGGGCCAGGACCCCCAGAGCAAGAAAAGGGAGGTGGAATGCCATGTAAGCTGCACGAAAGGGAAGCGCTTCACACCAGGCCACACGGAGACCGTGACCTCGCCCCCCTCGCCCCCTCCGATCCGCGGTCACCTATAGGGGTTGGAGTCCACCACCTCGGGGCTCATCTTCTCGATGCGGGCCCGGCCGCCTCCTCCGTCGCCGCCCCCGAGGGCCCGCCGACTTCTTTCCTGGGTCAGTTCTCGCTCCAACTCCTCAACCCGCCGCTGCAGCTGCTCCACAGACTTGGCCATGGCTGGGACTCCGGTCGCTAACTCTCTCAGCGCCGGCCGCCGCCGTCGCCGCCGACCCACGTTGACCGGTCTGCGGGGCTCCTGAGGAGTATATAAGGAGGCACCTAGCAGCCTTCCAAGCGCAGAATCCCGGGGAAGTGCTCTCAGCGCCTCACGGAAGGACACATTTCGGCCACTCCCGCAAGCCTCCCACGGTACTAGTTCCGGTTGCAGTCATCCCTCCCCCTCAGGACACCAACAAACAAAAGCCCCTTCTAGTTTCTTTCTTTGTGGGGTCCTAAGAGAGGCAGCAGCAGAGCCAGGGTCCTAAGTGTGCAGAGCGGGTAGCCACCGATGTTGCCTTTTAAATTGGGCGACTAGGAGAAACACCAGGATCTTTTATTCCTGGGCTCCAGGTGCGGAGGGGCGCTTTTCTGAACCGGACCTACAGGTCTTCCGCCTGCGAGTGCAATACGTTTAGAAGTGAAAGAGGCCTCTGCGTTCTTATTTGCTGGTAACGACTAATGCGGCTTCGCCGTCTTTCAAGTTGAGGTCTCCAATTCTGACGCTGACCGGTCATTTAAAAATCTTAAACCACAGGAGGTCGTACGACTTTGCCCGACTAGAGCCGAAATCACTAGATCCTACCGGCCAGGGTTGCTCAGCAACCGTGCCTTACGTGCGTGATTGGCTGGAGCCCTGAGCGCAAGCGGCCTTGCCCACGGCCTCGGCCCCTGGCGGTAAGATAGCAGTTCCTCGCGCCGGAATTATCTGTGCATTCAGCGTCTGTGAGACCTGCCGCAGCAATCATGAAGACAAGTCCTTCTGGTGATTCAGACACCGCCGAAGTGTTGCCTCAGCATAAGTTCAACTGCAGGTCCCTGGAGGCCTACCTCAACCAGCACTTGCCCGGCTTTGGGGCAGAGCCTGGGACCAAGCTGACCGTTGCCCAGTACAGGTATCGACGCCAGCCTTCTCCAGTAGAAACAAATCTGTGCATTGTGATTTGCTTCCTTTGACCCTGGATGGGTTCCCAATTTTCCGCACCCCAGTTTATTTTCCTAATGAGGCATTCTGCAACCAGGAGCTGGCATCACCCGTCCCTTGTATTCCATTTGGGGTATTTCCAATTCGCGGGCGATAATGGAAGCGATCGTAGTCGCAATTCCAAAACCGTGAGAAAGAATCTTTGTTAAAGGATACAATTGTGTACCTCGAAGGTTCACTGAGGCTTGGAAGCTCTGTGTACAGAGTATACAGAGCTTCGGTATACTTCCGGTATACTTCCGAGGTACAAGGCCTCGGTATACAGAGGCCTTGTCTCAACTTTTGGTCCGTAAGATCTTCCCCCGCGCCCCTGCCCGTAAATCAGGCGAAATTCCTTTATAATTTGCAATGTTCTATGAGGCTGAGTTAATGGCACCAGCTGGGGGATCCGAATTCTCATGCTAGATCTTCCACTAGGCAAATGACAGCACCACTTTGGGCTTTAGTAAAGACGATTCTGAGAATACTGTTCCCTGTTAGGGTGGACAGTGCCTTGGGCTGTAAAAAGAATTCACAAAGAGAAGAAAAGGCAGAGATCAAAGTTTTATTCACTTTCCAAGAGGAGAAGGTCTGGTGTGAAGAGATACACCCACTGCAAATTGCAGAGGCTCTAAGTTTTCATTGGGTGATAAAGGGGGAGGGGGATGGAGCTGGAGCAGGGCAGTCATGTCAATTAGCTGTTATCGGGAGGTTTCAGGCTGACTGTGCGGGTTTCGATTTGTTTTACTGGTTGTCTTTGGGGTCAGGGTCCAGGCCTCTGGTCTGGTTGTCTTGTTTGTATTAAGTTTTGAAACAACTGTGTGGGGATACTTTTCAGTAATCTCGTCCTGAGAATAGAGGCTCAGAGAAAAAAACAGTTAATTATGCCTGACAAGCTCAAGGGAAGAGAGATAGACAGCTAAAAGGGGCTTTTTCGTCCCATCTTTTTTTAAATATATTTTATTGATTATGCTACTACTGTTGTCCCAATTTTTCTCCCTTTGCCCCCTTCCACCTGGTACCCCACTTCCCTCCAGCAATTTCCCTCCTTAGTTCATGTCCATGGGTCACGCATACAAGTTCTTTGGCTTCTCCATTCCCTATACTATTCTTATTGTCCCCCTGTGTATTTTGTATTTACCAATTTTGCCTTCTAATCACTGCTCCTTTCCCCGATTCTCTCCCTTGCTCCTTGCTATACTGATAACCTGCCAAATGAACTGCATATCTATGGTTCTGTTCCTGTTCTGGTTGTTTGCTTGGTTTGTTTTTTTAGATTCAGTTGTTGATACTTGTGAATTTGTTGCCGTTTTAATGTGCATAGTTTTGACCTTTTTCTTAAATAAGATTCTTTAACATTTCATATAATGATGGCTTGGCAATGATGAACCCCTTGTCTGGGAAGCACTTTATCTGCCCTTCCATTCTAATTGAAATCTTTGCTGGATAGAGTAATCTAGGTTGTAGGTCCTTGCTTTCCATCACTTTGAAAACTTCTTGCCAGTTCCTTCTTGCCTGCAAAGTTTCTTTTGAGAAATCAGTTGATAGTCTTATGGGAAATGGGTCGTAGTTAACTGTTTTTTTTTCTTCTGCTTTCAAGATTCTCTCTTTATCTTTAACCTTTGGTATTTTAATTATGATGTGTCTTGGTGTGGTCCTCTTTGGGTCCAATTTCTTTGGGACTCTCTGAGTTTCCTGAGCTTGTATGTCTATTGCCTTTACCTAATTAAGGACATTTTCTTTCATTATTTTTTCAAATAAGTTTTCAGTTTCTTGCTCTTCTTCTCCATCTGGCACTCCCATGATTTGGATGTTGGTACATTTAAAGTTGTCCCAGAGGTTCCTAAGCTAATACTCATTTTTTTTAATACTTCTTTCTTCCAGCTATTTTTATTGGGTGCTTTTTCCTTCCTTGTGTTTCAAATCATTGCTTTGATTCTCAACTTCATTTTCTGCACTGTTGGTCCCCCCCCCCACTGTTTTTTTTAAGATTGTATTTATTTATTTTTAGAGAGAAGGGAAGGAGAAAGAGAGGGAGAGAAACAGCAATGTGTGGTTGCCCCTCGTGCAGCCCGAACTAGGGACCTGGCCTGCAACCCAGGCATGTGCCCTGACCAGGAATCAAACCAGCGACCATTTGGTTCCCAGACTGGCACTCAATCCACTGAACCACACCAGCCAGGGCCTTTGTAGATTTTTTTTTTTCACTTAATGTAACCTTCATTTCTTCCCTTATTTTTTGCTTTACTCAGTGAGTGCTTTCCTGATCACTAGTGTTTTGAACTCTGCATCTGATAGATTGGTCATCATTTCATTTAGTTCTTTTTTGAGGTTTGTTCTGTCCTTTCACTTGGGCCATATTTCTTTGTCTCCTCAATTCAGCAGCTGCCCTATGTTTCTGTGTATTAAGTAGAGTTGTTTTGACTCCTTATCTTAGAAAAGGCATCTGTAAATTGTGTGGGGTGGGCCCTTAAGTAATCTCTAGGGTGAGGCAACTCACCTCACCTGATTTGTGGCTCTGTGTGGGAGGAGGACTAGGAGAGGGGACAGTGCTGCTGCCTGGTTTCTGGAGGTTTGCCTGGCATGCACCCCATTTCTAATCAGTTCACCCACTTCCTGTATGTAACTGATGGCCTTTCAGCTGCTGCCCTGGTGGTGAATCCCAGAGTTTGCCCATGTTCTAAATCCTTGTGGGCCCTTTAAATGGACTCTCCTGAAAATCTGGCAGTTTCTTTCACCACCCAAATCCCTACTGGTTTTTACAGCCAGAAGTTATGGGGACTTATCTTCTGGCACTGGAACCCTGGGCTGTGCAGTTTGGCATGGGGGTGGGATTGCTGGCTCCCAAGGTATCCCTTCCGATTTTTATCCATCGCATGTGAGTGTGGGACTGCCTGTTCCACCACCACCAGGTTCTCTCCCTCTCTGTCTCCCTCCCGTCCCCTGTCTAAAAATAAATAAGTAACTTTAAAAAAAAATAAAATAATAAAAATTCTGAAATGTCAGTTAAAAAAATTCAGAATATAAATGCCTAAAGTTTAGAAATCAGCTGAAGGAAGTTACCCAATACATGTTTAGAAACTAAATGACTCATGGATTTAAAAAGCCAGTAATCAATAGATAATAACAGAGTTTATTAAAGTTCAGCATGCAAAAACCAATTGCATATCTGTACTTTAGCAACAGTTAAAATGTTATCTTTAAAAAGATGCAATTAATAAGCTTATCAAGAATATAAATTATCTAAATATTATCTAATATGTAGAGACATTTGCAGAGAAAATTATAAAACTTTATTAGAATCTTAAAAACAAATTGAGAGATGCCAATGTTTATGAATAGAAAACTTCATTAGTAAATCTCTTTTTTCTACCCGATGTATAGATTCAGTACAATGACAATCAAAATTGTAATTTTTTTTCTCTAATTTGAGAAATTACTCCTAAATTTTATGTGCAAGAGCAAAGGACTAAGAATACTAAAAACTTCCAAAGAGGAACAAAATAAGAAATTTGAATTAAGAAGGCATGATATTGACACAGACATAAGCCAAAAAATCATAAAGTGCCCACAAAAAGATCCACGAATCCACAGAATTTTGATATATGACAATGCTGGCATCACACATCAGTATGTGTAGGGGAGGACTTTCCAATAAGTTATACAGGTATAATTATTATTTGTATGGAAACATTGAAATTAGACCCTTTCATTGCTCTGTCTCACAAAATTCCAGGTGAATTAGTGTTAAAGCAAAACTAAAACTATTTGGAAGACATATAGGATGTGATCTTTGACTTTGGAGTAGAGAAGAAGATCTTTAAAAAAGATGAAAGCACAACCATTAAGAAAATGATTGGTACATTTTCAGTGAAAGACACCTTAAAGAAAGTGAAATTTAAAAAATGTTTGTAATATATAAAAATAATGGATAAAAGATTAATAACCAGAATGTATAAGGAATTCCAATAGCCCAACAGAAAAATGGTTAAAAGACTTGAAGATGCCCAAGGTCGTTTGCACTGTAGTAATCAGGGAAAGGCAGATAGAAACAATGAGAAACCGTTTCACATCTCCGTATTGACTTTTTTTTTAATATGACAATTTCAAACATTGTTCAGGATATGGAGCAACAGGGACTCATGTCCACAGTTTGTTGGAGCATGATTAATACAGCTACTTTGGAGAACAATTTGGCATGATCTTGTAAAAATGAAGATAGATATATATGCCCCATGATGCAGCAATTCTATTCTTAGGTATATACCCTAGAGATACTGTTGTAGTAGGATATCAAGAGATAATCTACAAAAATGTTCATTGTACTGTTTGTAATAGCAAAGATATAGGAAATGATACAATGTTCATCAGTAGCAGAACGGATGAACAAATTGTAGTGTATTCATATGACGGGATACCATACAGCCCTGAAAATCAGTCAGCTGCCACTATATAAAACAACACAGAATCAAACAATGGACAAATAAGCGTTATACTGTGTAAGGATCTAAACTTCAAGGGAAAGGTAAATTTAAAAATCAAGACAGGTATTCTGAGGGGGTAGAGGCACACAGAGGGCTTCAGAGATGCAGTAATTTTCTTAAACTGGGTAGTGAGAACACTGGTGTTTGTTGTGTTGTTATTCTTTATCCTTTACAAATTTCATAAATATCCTTTTATCTATGCAAAATTTATTTTTGAATTTGCAAAAATTAGGTCATATTGGAAAAACAAAATATTTGAAATTAAACGTTGAAAGCATTTTATAGCTTACTACAACAAAACCCACATTTTGCTGCTAAGTGTCTAATATGTGCCTGGCACTGCTTCAGTCACTGAGGCTATAACAAACAAAAAATCTTGCTTTCTTGGAACTTTCCTTCTATCTAGAGAATACAGACAATACATAAAATCACTTTCTAAATATTACAGTGTAGGAGAAGGTTGTATGTATTGTGGAGAGAAAGAAGAATAGGCAGTGTTTGGGGGGGTGGGAGCAGGAAGACCTCGTTGAGAAGGTGATATTCAGCAAAGACTTGAAGGAGATGAGGATATGAGCCATGCAGTTACCTGGGGAGAGAACATTCCAGGCAGAAGGAACAGCAAGAGCAAAGGCTCTGAAGGGGGAGTGGGCCCAGTATGTTGAGGTAGTACAAGCCATTGTGTCCAGAGGAGAAGCAAAGGCAACAGGTCCTTGTTGGCTGTTACAAAGACCTGGGCCCTTACTTCGAGTTGAAATGGGAGAGATTAAGGTTTTGCAGGCAGAGGAGGGACTGAGTTGTCTTTTAAAACAAATCTATTTTCCTGTTGTGTTTGACTGAAAGGGGCAAAGTCAAGGAGACCAGTTAGGAATATAGTGCAGTGATCCAATAAAGAAATATTAGTGGCATGGATCAGGATGGTAGTATAGAATAGGTTCAAAGTGATCATATTTGGGATTTATTTTGTAGGACCAATCAGATGTGGGGGGATGAAAGAAAAAAAGAAGAGACAACTACTATTCCGGTTTTTTCATGGTAACTGGAAGGATGGAGTTACCGTAAAATAAAGTAGAGGTGACTATAGAGAAGCAGATTTTGGGGGAAATATCATAACTCACTTCTGGAATGTTAAGTTTTAAGATGCCTTTTAGACATCCAGGTGGATCTGTATAGTCAACAGATATGTGAGTCTGGAGGTCAGGGCAGAGGTCTGGACTGGATATGTACATGTAGGAGTTATGGACATAGAGATAGCATGTAAAGCCATGAAACCATAGAACTTACTTAGACAACGTATCTACATATAGAAAGAGGTCTAGAAACTCAGTTCCAGCACCGAGATAGTAAGAAGTTGAAGAATTAAGGAGGAGGCTGCAAAGGAGCATATGAAGGAGTGGCTGGAGCAGCAGGGGAAAAATCGCAGTTGGTGCCATAACAGTATTAGTGACCTTGAAAAAATAGTTTTGGTGGAAAGATAGGAATGAAGCTTGATTGAAATGCATTTAAGGGAAAATAGGAGAGGAATTGGAGGAGGGAATGTAAACAACTCTCAAGTTTTTCCACCAAGGGGAATAAAAATGTTTTAAGTATAGGGGGAAGTGAGGTCAGGAAAAGTCTCTAAAAAGTAGGGGCATGGGGGGCAGGGACGGACAGGCAGTGAGTAAGGTGCTCTCTACCTGTGTTAGTTACAGGTCCTCCAGCTGCCACTGTGTTGCAATCTGCTTTTTATCATCCAGAAACCCACGGTCTGAGCTTCTGGTGGCACCACTCTTGCCTTTCCAACACTGAAATGGATGTATTTGCATTTTGTGTTTCTCCTGACATTTCAGCAGGATTTGGGGAAGAAGGAAAACATATCTTTGTAAGTGACCTTTCTTTCCTCTTACCTAGGTCAGGAAAGTCCAATCCAACCTTTTATCTCCAGAAGGGTTTCCAAAAATATGTCCTCAGAAAGAAGCCACCTGGTTCACTTCTTCCTAAGGCACATAAGGTATGGTATGCAGATGCAATAATACATTCTCTGCTGACAAATAATTGCCTTTTATTCACACAAAACCAATTTAAATTGCTTTTGAGGGGAAATATCATAACTCATTTCTGGAATGTTAAGTTTTAAGATGCCTTTTAGACATCCAGATGCATCTGTACAGTCAACAGATATGTGAGACTGGAGGTCAGGACAGAGGCCTGGACTAGACATGTACAGAAAAGTCATCTCCTGATTATTAAGTAATAGAAAATGCATTTTATTCCTTAGATAAAACATTTTACTTGAATTGTGTATGCCATTTTTCTTTTGAAAAAGGATTTGAGGCTCATATTAAGTCTATCTTTAGGCTATTAATCCTGTACAACACCCAGTCCTCTTATGTATTTCATTCCTTCCTGTACAACTGGCCAGAAATAAAGTCATCCAGTGAGTGTTTTTTAAAAGATTTTATTTACTTTTAGAGAGAGGAGAAGGGAGGGAGAAAAGATGGAAAGAAGCATTGATATGAGAGAGAGACATTGGAAACACTTATCGGTTGCTTCTCATACATGCCCCAACTAAGGACCAAACATGCCACCCATGTGCCCTGACTGGGAATCGAACCGGTGACCTTTCACTTTGCGGAATGACATCCAACCAACTGAGCCATACCAGTCAGGGCTCCAGTGAATATTTTCAGTGCTGCTCATTTATAGATGTTTTGTACTTTGGTTATATATTTAAAGTTTTTAAAAGCATATTATATCTTACAATAATATGTATTCACTGAATTATTTTAAAATATTTGCTATGATGATCCCCTGATCTTTTGGTGGTAAAAAGAAATATTTGAATACTCATAGTATTCTTTAAATAGTGGACTTAGTGAAAATTATAAAATATTTTTTAATTGGGTCTTTCTGTTTTCAGAAAACATTATGAATTTTTAGAGAAGAAAACGGGAATACAGAAATCAAAGTCCTGAAAAACATTAATATTTATAATTAGAGTATTAATATAGCCATAGGTGCTTCCCAGGCCCAGCTGACTTTCAGGCCATTAAGGAGTGGGCTTAATGTCACAGCAATGAAAAATGCTGATTTTGGTTTTCTCGATCTCATATCATATTCCCAGAAACATGAAGTAACTTGGATGTTTAAGATCGATAAAGATGGGCAACTTTTATTAAGCCTCAATATGGCATGGCTGAAGGAGAGTCCTTACCTATCCAGAGATTAATACCCACCAAAACTGTTCTATTTGTCTCTCTTTTTGATAACATCCTACCAGAAGACATTACATAACATAATGCTCTCAGCTCAAGGATCTGGAGTACTTTGTTTCTATGTTCTTTATTTTTCCCAAGTCTACATTGAAAAAAAGCAAGGCTCCCACACCATCACCCACTTTGTGACTCCCTAACCTGTGTGTCCCCACCACCATCCCATCCCATCCCTTCCCACCCCCACCCCCGATTTCCAAGCAACAAGGTGTTACAAACACTTCTTTTCTACAGCCACTGGCGCACCGCTGGCTTGTCTCGCCTTGGTCATGGATTTAGCCACTTCCCTGCTGTAGTTAGTGGAGCAGCACCTGCTTATCCCTGCTATCACAGTGAGCTGCAAGGCTGCTGCTTCTTATGAGTGATCAGTCACCACTGCCTGAGCCTGGGGCAAGGGGACTTTGCATGCAGATGAGTTGGCAGCCTACAGTTCTCATGTAATCTGTGTCCTCGGGTCTTAAGTGATAGGCCCATACATCTGTCCTGGTCAGGAGACCCATTTCTCCTCACCATCTCATTTGGGCTCCTGCTTCAGTATAAGCTTGCTTTTCATTGCCTCCTTCCCCAAGAGTTGTCTTGAGCTCTATAGCAACCTCAGTTACTGGGAAGGATCCCCATACCCCTGCTACCTCCATTGATCTCCAGAAGGAGCAGTTGCTTTTTCCTTCTGGTACCCACTGACCTCAGCCAGCATGCTACGGTTGACTATGCCCAGGGCCTTGGAATAGAGACTTGCCTGAGCCCCCAAGGAAGTCATGAGAGAGACAGAGTGAGCCAGTGATCAGGGAGCTGCTGAGAACAAAGAGATGTTTTATGATAATATCTGTGGAATATGGTGGTTAGGATCTGTTGCCTTCAGATGACCAGAGCCAGTATTAAGTCCCATGAATATACCTATTCTTTTTAGCTTAGTTATGTTTTACAATAATACTAACTTAACATTATATGACTCAATATTAAACTTCCATTGTTACATGTCAATTATACCTCAAAATAAAAAAGTGTTCTTGCCCTGGCTGGTGTGGCTCAGTAGATTGAGTGGGTTGTGGATGCGTGGATGTGTGGATGCCTGGACGCCTGGACTGCAGGCCAGGTGTCTGATAGGGGGCGCATGAGGCAACCCACATTGATGTTTCCCTCTCTTTCTCCTTCCCTTCCCCTCTCTAAAAATTAGTAAATAAAATCTTTAAAAAAATATTTCCCCAGAAAAAAATGATTATGTTTTAGTGCTGGTCTAATTTATAATAATTGCACTAAGACTACATTTAAAGAAAATAATAAGGAAGTTATTATCCTCTGGGTTATTTCAAAATTGAATTCTAACCTTAATGTTAACTCCCAAGTAGTTATTAAATTTCTGTGTTTCTGATTTTTAAAATCTACCATCCTATTTAGATTGATAGAGAATATAAAGTCCAGAAAGCTTTGTTTGCGACTGGATTCCCTGTTCCCAAGCCTTTGTTGTACTGCAGTGATACTTCTGTCATTGGAACAGAATTTTATGTGATGGAACATATGCAGGTAAATTAACAATTAATCTTACTTTGGTGTGGCTTTTATTTATATAAGAAATTAGATGTTGATAATGATAGCTTATTGTCAACATTTTAGGTGATTGGTTTGCTTTGTGAGGGCTTAAACTTTTGTTTTAATTGGAGCACAGTGTTTTCCTCTAGGTGTCAGTAAAGAGCCGTGTGTAATGGTAAAAACCAAACTTTCCAGATGGTGGGGGAAAAACTCCAAATTGAAAATCAGTCCATTGAGAACAATATTTTAAATTGTTTAAAAGATTTTTTTTGTAAAATATAACTTGAGAGTAGTCTTTGTTCTTTAAATTCACCTGTATTTTCCCTTGTGCATGTACACTCATATTAGACATTTCACAAATGAGTGTTTTTCTAGTATATTCTACAAAGAATTGGTTTTGGTTGCAAACTGTTATCCTGATAGTTTTATATGCAGTAGGGGATAGCAACTCTGCAAAGAGTTGTCAAGAAAAGATTGACCTTGTTTTAAATTATCTATTGTAATTGCTTCCATAGGGTCGAATTTTTCGTGATTTAACAATTCCTGGAGTTAGCCCAGCAGAACGCTCAGCCTTATACGTGGCCATGATAGAAACCTTGGCTCGCTTACATTCTTTAAACATACACGCACTGCAGCTGGGAGGATACGGAGTTGGTGCTGGGTACTGCAAAAGGCAGGTAATGGATCCACATCACTCTTCTTCTAAAGTTCTCAGAAGTAATATACATTATTAGTCAAAATAAAAACCTATTACTTTATACTTTTCTGAAACTTGGCTCTAACATTTAATATCAGCCTTTAGTTTGACTTATTTTAAGTGTAAAACAATGTTATATTTTTAGATCATATTTTGTTTAGCAAGCTTCTGTAACTGACAGAATGTAAATGAATGCAAACTTAAAGCTACTTCAGGCTTTTCATCTACCAGCACTTTATTAATATATTTTTATTCAGTTTTCTCTTTTGATGTTGGTTTAACAGATATTTATTAAGCATGACCATGTTTAATATGTGCTGAGTACTGCATTAAATAGCAAGAAAACAGAAATAAGTTCTCTCCACAAAGGAACTATGGTCATTTAAGAGACCAATATGTGAATCTCACTTATATGAAACAAGAAAATGGTATAAAAGAGTATGTAATCAAGTAGTACTGTTTTTGCACTCATCATGAGAGCTGTTCCATTCAGATGGTAGATATCAGTATGCCCTTGCTTAAAAGTGGGGAAAGCTTCCTGGGAGAGAGATCTTGCACTGTGTATTTAAGGAAGTATAAAACCTAGAGTGACGGGGAGCAGGTGGCAAGCATTTAAAATCAAAGTATCAGCAGAACCAGATATGTATGGATGGGGCTGATTTCCTTTGTGTGTCTTTTTGAGGGGGTTGAGAGGAGAAAAAAGAGAACTAAGGTTTAGAGAGTACTCACTATATGCCACGTCCTTTTCATTTTTGCAACAGCCTGAAGGTGTAGGGATTATCACTCCTATTTTGCAGATGGGGAAACAGGTTTGCAGGTATCAAGTAACACAAATAAGTGGCTTAGACATAATTTAAACCCAGGTCTATATGATTCCAAACATAAAGATCTTTACTGCATTAAACTGAACAGATAACCTTGAGGACTGGAGACATTTATATAAGCAGATAAATAATGTGGTCTCAGTTGGCGGAGGACTTTGTTTAGGTGCTGTTTCTTGTGACATTCCAGAGTTTCTCTGTGCCTGTTTATTTGTGTGTGTCTGTATGCACTCTTCTTTTTCTTAACAAAACATTTGCCAAATAAAAACAAGAACCCACATCTCTTGATTCCCAGGCCAGTATTGTGTGTTTGTGTGTGTATGTGATAAAAATCTAAGTAAAATGGAAGTAGATAGAAGAAAAACTTAAATGTTTAAGTTTTTAGGCCGATATTAATGTTTTAGGCTGATATGACCATCACTTACAGGCATTTGTCTTGTACATTTAAAAAGAAAACTAAATTTGGTGATTAAATTTTGCTTTAATTTTAGAAGCACTGGATCTTGAATTCCACTTTAGCCCTGTCATTTTTCTTATTTATACACCTTCAGGTATCAACCTGGACAAAGCAATATGAAGCTACAGCTCACCAGGACATCCCTGCCATGAGCCAGCTCTCTGACTGGCTCATGCAAAACTTGCCAGAAAATGACAATGAAGAAAATTTGATTCATGGAGATTTCAGACTGGATAACATAGTTTTCCACCCTAAAGAGGTACTGTAAGCCATGTTTACAATAAATTAAGTAGGTGTGACATGGGACACAAGTACTAAGTAGATGTTCCCCCCACCCCCCAGAGTGCTGAAGGAGGCCAACCTCTTGGTCCCCACTTTCCCCCCACATTCAGGACTGTCTTCACCACTCAAACTTCTACAAATGAGTCCTGCGGATTCTCTGACGTGGGTAGTTACCTACCTTTAAGGATGGGTCTAATTCTGAGTGATACCTGACTTACTGTTTAAATAAGATTTGGGAATTTATCTGTGTTGCTGTTTTCTTCAAAGACAAATTTTACTGTTTATACCAAAACTATATATGACTTATGACATTTAATTTTATATAATAACCTTACTCCTAGTTTCATCTTTTTATTAAAAATTCTATAATGTTCTCCTTTGCCTTCTTTATCTGCTGTTTGTCCTCTGGGCTTGCATATGCTTCTTCTGTTTTGAAAAGGTAAGATACATACATTTTAATAGAACTCAGTAGTATAAAAAGCATACATAGAAAAATTTAAAAATGTAGAACATAATCAACAAAAAAACAGTCATTTGTGCTGAGGTTTCAGGGAAACTGTCAGAAATAATTTTGTTAATAGGTTAGCAAAATGGACTAGTAAATGTTCATCTCAACCACTAGGAGTTATACTGAGCTTTTTATAGCTCTCTACACAAACAGGGATAGACAGGATGCTAATAAACTATGCTAATTAATTTACAGTAATTGATACAGTTTGATTAACCATCAGTTTTTCTCACTGGCTGTTGTTTCACAGCTTTGTGGAATTACCTAAGAAATATTTCAGATATCTTGAAATGTAACTATAAAGGAGATTTCCAACTTTCACTTAGAAAAAGTTAACCATTTATAGCATATGATAAGTATCTCATCTTCTCTGGATGTTAAGAGCACAGAAGCAAATAGAACAATAGAGAAAAATGTACCCAATGTTTTTCATTAGCTTACAAAATCCAGCTAGTATAGTACTTTATAATAACAGTATAACCACAGCAATGAAAGGTTTTGTAACATCAAATCATAGTGGAAGGAAGTGATCAATTTTCCCCATGGTCCTAATAGCAAATTTTAACTGCCTGTTATGTACCAGGTTCTGTACTTATTCACTGAATAAATACATATTGGCCACCTACTGTGTGCCAGGTACTTTGCTAGGAACTGGTGAAAAAACAGACATGCTCCCTGCCCTCTGTTAATTGTGACATTTAACCCTATGCAAGGAAGTGTATGTTGTGACTGAGAAAATTAAGAATCTGAGAGGATAACTGTCTTGTCTAGAATTATACAGCTGATAAATGGTGGAACTAAGATCTGAATATACGTCTGTGTAATTCCAAAATCCACATTTTTCCTCGAAGCTAGAATAATACCTATAAGTGCACCAGAAGAGCAAGGGAGGTCAGGCATACACAAGGTTACATAAAGGCCTGAAACCCAGCACTTCACTCAGCCCAAACGACCTCTGTTATTTTATCTGGCTTGGATAATTTTAACTAGATTATTGCTGTAGCCTCCTCAGTGGCCCTCCTACAGTCCAAAGGCCAGAGTGACCCCCAGAGGCAAACCCTGTCATGCCACTCCTCTGCACCGAACAGTCCAAGGGATGTTCCCTTCTCTGCACCCCCCACACTCCTCAACCCTTTGAAGTAATTCATTTATAACCTTTTTATTTAAACAAAAATGCTATACATGTTATCTGCAAATTGCTTTTCCTCTTGTATTTACAGTTGACTGTCTGTGTTCTTAACATAAAGAAATATATTCCCTTGATACTTATTGTTATACAAAATAGAATGAGGGAAATTTTCTGTTTTATTGATTCCAAATTATGTGACTATTATGTTGCTATATAATGGTAGAGTTTGTATTTGTAAAATAAACAACATCTTTTTACATTTTTTTACATCAATTACATTTTTATCCTTATACTATGAAATAACATTTTAAAAATTACAATTGCTGTCAGATTGTAATATTTGTTATGTAGTAAGATTCATCACCAGAGCAAACTCTTAATTACATATGGCATAAATTCTTAAACTGTAGGAAATTATTAGAACTTCTGCTTTACCGCAGTTATTCCCACCTGGGATGTTTCTACTCTTTCGGTCTCTGCTCATTAGGAGACAGACTAAGGCTGTGTGAAGGAAAAGCTGGAGAACTGACAGGTCGGAGGGCTTGGCTCTACACAACCAAGGTGTTAGCGTGTACGTGAGACGTGCCACTGCGGGTAAAGCTACAGACTATGGCCTCAGCTTTCCTTTTGATGGAAAATATGATTCTGAATGTATTCTGTTTCACTTATTTCCTCCATTTTAGTTGTCTTCTATCTAAAATGTTTAATTCTTTTTATTTTTAATTATAGTCTCGAGTTATAGCTGTACTGGATTGGGAGCTTTCAACCATTGGTCATCCTTTGTCAGACTTAGCTCATGTCTCCCTGTTCTACTTTTGGCCAAGGACAGTTCCAATGATAAATCACGGTTCTTATTTTCAAGAAAACATAGGTATGAAAACATAATGATGCCTAAATTCCTATTAATATACAATTATCTTTATTATTCCGAATGACTTAAAAATAGGATTATATCCCTGGCTGGTGTAGCTCAGTGGACTGAGTGCCAGCCTGTGAACCAAAGCGTCACCGGTTCGATTCCCAGTCAGGGCACATGCCTGGGTTGCGGGCTGGGTCCCCAGTTGGGGCCATGCTAGAGGCAACCAATCAGTGTATCTCTTGCACATTGATGTTTTTCTCCCTCTCTTTCTCCCTCCCTTACCCTCTCTCTAAAAAGTAAATAAATATAACATTAAAAAAATAGGATTATATTTCAATTTTAGATAAAAAGCTTTTATTTGTTTTTGAAATGTTTCTAAATTATTTTTATTGCTTTTTCTGAATATTCCATTGAACTTGTAGTAATTTATGATAAAATATAATTCTTTGTGTATGGTTTTCTTTTGGAAATCAACATTTAGAACATGTTTTGTTATATGGACTAATGGTTATTATATTTAATTTTATAAACATATGCAATATTATGACACTTTGAAATATTTACCATGAGATTTTTATTAAAGTTCACAGTGCATACTGTTTTTATAGGAATACCATCAATGGAAGAACTAATTTTAACATATTGCCGCTGCAGGGAAATTACTTGTACTCTTCCTAATTGGAATTTCTTTCTTGCCCTTTCATGCTTTAAAATGGCTGGAATATCACAGGTAATTAATTGTTTTTAACATGTGTTTTACCATTATTTATTAAGTATTTTCTGGTGTTCAAGGGTTTTACATGTCTTTTTTTATTCTTAGATCATTTGGATTTCCATAATGACAAATAACAAGACATGGTTAAATATAAATTCAGAATTTACAGAATAGGAATTTGCGAGGAGAAAATATGAGTAGCAAAATGTATTACCACTTTTTGGTATATTAAACTTAAAAGATAGAAGAAGGGAGAAAGACATAATGATAAAAAGAGAAACACTTATGAAAATTGGCTATTTTATGAATATCCATTGTAAGACACAGCTAAAATCTTTTAATGATGTCTGCTTCAGACTTTAAAACCTTTTATGAGACTTCCGGTCAAGATAGCAGTGTAGGCAGACATGGCTCACCTCTTCGCACAGCCACATCAAAATTAGAACTAAAATATAGAATAACCATCACTCAGAACTGTCAGAAATCAAGTTGAATGGAAGTCTGACAACTTACGGAATTAACCCACATCGATCCATATTGACAGGAGAGGTACAGACACAGAACCGCCTGGTACCATACCAATGTGTGGTGGATAAAAATTTGGGAGGGATATCTGAGGAACAAGGAATCTCAGCCCCATACCAGGCCTCCCAACCTCAGGTTCCAGTGCCAGGAAGATAAGTGACCACATCTGGCTGTGAAAATCAGTGGGGATTGAGTCTGTGGGAGAAACTTCTGGAGCCCCAAGCAGTTCTTCTTAAAGAACTCACACATGGACTCACCTACTCGGACTTGTTCCCTCTGAGCTCCAGCATTGGAGTAGCAGTTTGAAAGGCACCAGTGGTATGCAGGGAGAAACTGTTTGGCATCAAGGTGAACAGAGGCCATTGTCCCTTTGCTGAGGTCTCCTCGAGTAGAGCTGGCAAGCTGGTGTCATCTGAGACTCCATCAACCTGGCTAACACTGTTTGACTCTCCTTGGAGATCTCCAGAGACTGCACGCCACCCAACTCACAGTGTAGGCAGTGTAGGCAGACATGACTCGCCTCTTTGCACAGCCACATCCAAATTACAACTAAAATATTGAATAACCATCACTTAGAACTGTCAGAAATCGAATTGAATGGAAGTCTTTGACAATTACGGAATTAAAGAACCCATATCTTGGATTGGTAGGAGAAGCACAGACACAGAACTGCTTTTCCATAAGAATGGCTGGTCTTGGCTCATGCTACACAACTTTCCTAAATCCTATCAGACAAGCAAGTAGGCCTCAGTGAACCCCATGCCCAGCAATATCAGCAGCCAGACTAGATTCACAGCTTGTCCTTGCCTGGGAATCTCTAAGCCCAGCACAAGTAGCTGACATCTCAGATTGCTTTATTGTTCAGGCAGGGTGGCCCCAGACAAAGCATAGGTGGGGTCTGACCTTGGCCTGCACTACCCAGGGGACCCCAGGACAAGCACACCCAGTGAATAGCTACCAACCATGTCAGAGCACCACCACCCTGTCCCTGCATAGCTGATTCTCCACAGAGAGTGGAGGTTGGTAGTCAATGGTCATGGCTAATCCTTACAGCTGACTGGCCTGGGTAAATCCCTCCCATGATCTGCCTACAGCAGCCAAGGCTCAACTACAAGAGGAGAGTGTACTCAGCCCGCACAGAGGGCACACCTTGAGTACCCAGCTTGGGTGATAGGAGAGGTTGTGCCTCTGGATTCTGCAGGACATCTACTACATTAGGCCACAGTACGAAGACACAAAGTTAAAGCAGCTCTACCTAATACACAGAAACAAACAAGGCAGGCTGCCAAAACAAGAAGACAAAGAAATATGGCCCAAATAAAAGAACAGATGAAAACTCCAGAAAAAGAGCTAAGCAAAATGAAGATAAGCAATCTATCAGATACAGAGTTCCAAACACTGTGAAGAACTTACTGAGGACCTCAGCAGCATAAAAAAGATCCAGTGAGAAACAAACGACACACTAATTGAAATAAAGAACACTTTACAGGGAAACAACAGCAGAATGGATGAAGCTGGGAATCAAAGCAATGATTTGGAACACAAGGAAGCAGAAAATAACCAATGAAAACCAACAAGAACAAAAAAAGAATTAAAAAAATGAAGATAGTACAAGCAGCCTCTGGGACAAATTTAAGAGATCCAACATTCACAGCATAGGGGTGCCAGACGGAGAAGAGGAAGGGCAAGAAATTGAAAACTTCTTTGAAAAAATAATGAAGGAGAACTTCCCTGATCTGACAAAGGAAATAGACTTCCAGGAAGTCCAGGGAGCTCAGAGAGTCCCAAAGAAGTTGGACCCAAGGAAGCACATACCAAGGCACATCATATTTACATTACCCAAGATTAAAGGTAGGAAAGAATCTTAAAAGCAGGAAGAGAAAAGGAGATAGCTACCTACAAAGGTGTGCCCATAAAACTATCACTTGATTTCTCAAAAGAAACCTTAAAGGCAAGAAGGGGCTCGAAAGGAGTATTCAAAGTCATGAAAGGCAAGGACCTACATCCAAGATTACTCTATCTAGCAAAGCTATCATTTAGAATGGGAGGGCAGATAAAGTGCTTCTCAGATAAGGCCAAGTTAAAGGAGTTCATCATTACCAAGCCCTTATTATATGAAATGTTAAAGGGACTTATCTAAGAAATTGAAGAAGATCAAAAATATGAATAGTAAAATGACAGCAAACTTACAACTATCAACAACTGAACCTAAAAACAAATACATACTAGGCAAACAACTAGAACAGGAACAGAACCACAGAAATGGAGATCACATGGAGGGTTATCAGTGGGGAGGGACGGGGGGAGAATGGGGGGAAAGGTACAAGGAGTAAGCATGAATGGTAGGTAGAAAACAGACAGGGTTAACAGTAGTATAGGAAATGGAGAAGCCAAGGAACTTATATGTATGATCCATGGACATTAACTATGGTGGGGGAATGCTAGTGGGAGGGAGGGTGCAGGGCAGAGGGGAATAAAGGGGAGGAAAAAAAATGGGACAACTGTAATAGCATAATCAATAAAATATACTTGAAACAATTGAATCTAAAAAACAAACTACACCAACAAGAACAGAGACAGAATCATGGACACAGAGAGCATTTTGATGGTTGCCAGATGAGAGGGGGAAGTGGGAGAATGGGTGAAGAGATGAGGAGTTAAGAAGTACAAATAGGTAGTTACAGAATTGCCCTGGGGATGTAAAGTACAATATGGGAAATGGAGTAGCCAAAGAACTTACACAAATGACCCACTGACATGAACAATGGTGTGGGGATTGCCTGTTGGAGTGGGGGGTGCTGTGCGGAGAGGGGGTAAAGGGGGGAAATTAGGAAAATGTAATAGCATAATCAATAAAATATAATTTGGAAGAAAACATTGATCAATCAGGTTTATTGATGAGGAAAGAATTCTCTTTGAACTTCCCCAAATCTAGCATAGTACCTACCAAAGAGTAGCCTCTTAATGTATGCTTTTTAGTGAATAGATGAGTAAGTTTTTCCATTTTCTAACATCATATTTATGTGATTAATTCAGCATAAATTAAGTTTTTTTAAAACTACAGCTTAATCTAAAATGCATTCTTTATTATAGTAATTCAGTTCTGTGTACTTTGAACATTGGGGGTTTATTTAAGAAATTGAAATACTTCGGTGGCAAGGGGCTAGGGCTTAGAGGAAGAAAAGGTAAATAAGAGATTTTCGAAACAAAAAAGAATGGGAGGATTAAGGAAACTTATGGTTATTTTTCTCTGTCCTCAGACTTCATGCCATTCACAAACAACTGAAATATCTTTAGGAAATGGTTGTGTTATACCTCATCCTGCATTTTACAGTCATATTAACCGTATTATTAACCATATTGAGCGTGGGCTGTGAACCAAAGTGTCGCAGGTTTGATTCCCAGTCAGGGTACATGCCTGAGTTGCAGGCCATGACCCCCAGCAACCACACATTGATGTTTCTCTCTTTCTCCCTCCCTTCCCTTTTCTCTAGAAATAAATAAATAGAACCTTTTTAAAAAGAGAAAGAGAGAGAGAGAAAAGAAAGAAAGAAAAAGAAAGAGAGAAAGAAAGAAAGAAAGAAAGAGAAAGGAAGAAAGAAAGAAAGAAAGAAAGAAAGAAAGAAAGAAAGAAAGAAAGAAAGAAAGAAAGAAAAGAAAGAAAGAAAGAAAGAAAAGAAAGAAAGAAAGAGAAAGAAAGAAAGAGAAAGAAAGGAAGGAAGGGAGGGAGGGAGGGAGGGAGAGAGAGAGAGAGAGAGAGAAAGAAAGAAAGAAAGAAAGAAAGAAAGAAAGAAAAGCTTGTTAGCATTCTGCTAACATTGTTCAAAGGAGACAGTTGCACCTGAACTCTGGGTCCAAAAAATGAGATAAAATACTCTTAGAGGACATCTCATTGCTTTCTCTTTGGTTTTATAGTTGTTGTTTTTTTTAATTCGGTTTCTGTAGATTTTCCCTCATGATGAAGGGAGAGCAGTGGTTTTTAGAGGTGGTGTAATTTGCCAGTTTGGTATCTTTGGTTACTGTTGAGTTCCCTTTCAAGTTTGGTTTGATTCCCAGTTACAGTTTTGTTAGGATGTGAGTGTGTTAACCAGATGACCTAAGTATGACTATTTAATTTAGGAGGTGATATGTAATTATTTCTTCATGTAAATTAATGGAATTGATCATCTCAATATCATTTCTATCTTGGTACCCTGTGAGTTTAGTGACTCCACAGAGCTGGAAAACTACAAAGACTGGATAGTTGAACAGTTTTCAGTAATTTTTCCTCATTCTCTGTTAACTTATTTATAGGGAATATATAGTAGATACCTTCTGGGGAATAATGCATCTGACGATAGCTTCCAGTTTGCCAGTAATGTGCAGCCTCTGGCAGAAACTGGATTGCAGCTCTCCAAAAGGTAAGCAAACAGATTCTTCGGCTAACTCAAATTAGAGCACCTTTTAGGTACGTGAAAGTTAGAAACGGGAGGGGGATGGGGATCGCTTTTATTTCCTACACCAGGATTGCTGCTGCCGGTCACAATAACTTGCTTGGTCAATGTCTTACCTACCTGAAAATAAATTGACTTTAAATATAAAGAAAATACTCATATTTGTGATTGAAAGTATCTTTGACAACTTGAGTATATAAACTTTTAAGGATATAGATAAAACTCCCAAGTGTTTCCTTCTAATATTTGTTACATATACCTATTTAAAATTATAAATTACATGAGATAATTTTTTTAGCTTTCTTTTTTTATATGTATTTTATTGATTATGCTATTACAGTTGTCCCATTTCCCCCCTTCTCTCCCCTCCACCCTGTACCCCCTCTCCCACCCACATTCCCCCACTTTAGTTCATGTCCATGTGTCATGCTTATGAGTTCTTTAGCTTCTACATTTCCCGTACTATTCTTGCCCTCCCCCTATCTATTTTCAACCTACATTCTATGCTACTTATTCTCTATACCTTTTCCCCCTCTCTCCTCCTCCCACCCCCCTGCTGCTAGCCCTCCATGTGCCCTCCATTTCTGTGGTTCTGTTCCTGTTCTAGTTGTTTACTTAGTTTCTTTTGGTTTTGCTTTAGGTGTGGTTGTTCATAATTGTGAGTTTGCTGTCCTTTTACTATACTTGTCTTTTCTTTATCTTCTTTTCTTAGATAAGTCCCTTTAGCATTTCATAAAATAAGGGCTTGGTGATGATGAACTCCTTTAACTTGACTTTATCTGAAAAGCACTTTATCTTCCCTTCCATTCTACATGAGAGCTTTGCTGGATAGAGCAATCTGGGATGTAGGTCCTTGTCTTTCATGACTTGGAATATTTCTTTCCAGCCCCTTCTTGCCTGTAAGGTCTCTTTGGAGAAATCAGCTGACAGTCTGATGGGAACTCCTTTGTAGGTGACTGTCCCCTTATCTCTTGCTGCTTCTAGGATTCTCTCCTTCATTTTTACCTTGGCTAATGTAATTATGATGTGCCTTGGTGTGTTTCTTCTTGGGTCCAACTTCTTTGGGGGCTCTCTGAGCTTCTTGGATTTCTTGGAAGACTGTTCCCTTTGCCAGATTGGGGAAGTTCTCCTTTATTATTTGTTCAAATACGTGCTCCATCTGTTGCTTTTTCTCCTTCCTGTTCTGGTACCCCTATAATTCGGATGTTGGAACGTTTAAAGGTGTCCTGGATGCTCTTAAGATTTTCCTCGATTTTTTGAATTCTTATTTCATCATGCTTTCCTGCTTGGTTGATTCTATCTTCCTTCTGGTCCACTGTATTGTTTTGAGACTCAGATTCCTTCCTTTCACTATTGGCTCTCCTCCGCGTATCTTCCTGCATCTCTTTTATGGTAACCTGCATCCTTTCATCTAAATTGCACCCAAAATCAACCAATTCCATGAGCTTTCTGATCACCAGTGTTTTGAACTGTGCATCTGATAGATTGGCTATTTCTTGGTCACTCAAAAGGATGAGTCCTGGGGGACTGATCTGTTCTGTTGGATACATGTCTTATGTCTTTCCCTGTCTCTGGTCGCTCTTGTTATGGTGGAGGGCAGAGCCTTAGATGTTCACTGGGGCTGGGCACCCCAGTCGCTAGATTATGACGTTATATGTGTGGGCGGGGGCGGGAGCGGGAGGGGACAATGGCAGTAGTTCCGTTCTCCCAGGCTCAGGACCTTCCTTGGGATCCTGGGCTGCGAGCTCTGCCCTGGTCCACAATCGCTGCCCCACAGGGTCCGCCAGCCGCAGCTTGCGTACTCAGGGATCACCGCTGCGTTCTTGCGCCCCGGATGGCTGTCGCGCCAATTTCACGCCAAATTTTCCCCGACCTCCGCGCACTGCCGACCCGCGCCAGTCCCGCTCCCGCCCGGCTCATCGTCTCCTACCGGTCTGGGTGTACGGGTTTACTTCAACTTCTTGGCTGTCCGACTTCCATTCAGATAAATCCTGTCAGTTCTGAGTGATATTTTGTCTGTAAATTATTGTTGTTCTAATCTTGGTTGTGCGAGGAGACACGGTGCGTCCACCTATTCCTCCATCTTGCCGGAAGTCCCCCTCGCATGAGATTATTTACTAAATTTAGAAATACTGCTTTCTTCCATTATCACATGCCATGAAATTTTATTCCAATGTTTTGTAAGCATCATTCAAATCCATGTCTCTATCAGTGGAGCACTTGTGAGGCATCTAATGCACGTTGCCAGCCACACTCCCATCTAAGTGGTGTGATGTATGGCACTTACTGAATCCATAGATGATGCTGTCCCTGGAAATTTTGCCCAAGTGACAAGTACTTGTGCCATAATGTTAACACAGCCTTGTTTTTACAATCCACTGTATAGACGAATATTTGTAATCTCCACAACATAACGACTGACTGTTGCTCATCATAATGATCTTTAGAGGTGTTTATAATGATACCCAGCAGTTATATTTGTGAGACATATACTAAGAGTAACCATTAAATTTATGTTCAGTTTCTTTTGTTCCTCCCCCCGTCCTGCTTTTTTAAGAGATTCTAACCAGTGACTTCATTCAAGATTCAAAATTATCATTGATTGAGATCACGCCAGGCTTATGTTTTCCCCAAATAATGTCTAAGCATTAAAGTTTATGTTAAAAATAAAGTGATTCTCTATTCACCCCATAATATGAAAGACTTAAAAAATTCAAAATGTGGCAGTTCCTTCTGAGTGCTGGTTTTGGGGAGTTAGGGAAGACGTCACTTTATATTCAGAAATATAATAATTGGATATCCTCATAACTTCTTTTTACAAAGATCTTTCAGAACTATACTGCCACAGAAGGAGAATACCCCAAAGTTGTTTGTACAGACTCGGAGAGGCCAGGAACTTCTTACTAGGGTGAGGCATTTCATGAAGCAGCACATCTTTCCAGCTGAAAAGGTAAGCTTTGTGTGAACAGAATGTATTTGTGCTCAGGGACTATCCATTACTTCTGTTATCTCTGCTTCTAGGAGCACCGTGGTATCTGGTCTTGGCAGTCAGTCCATAACTAGGTGCCCCTCCTGACCTGAGCACTGAGCTGCTACAGAACCTGACCCTGAAAAACCCCAAGCTTCTAAAATATGCTAAGGGAATGCTACAGATAAATCTGTGGAATTAAAATTAAGTTGAAAGGAATTAACTTTGTTTAAAGTTTAGAACCTTATTATATTAGAGTAAAACACTACTTTGAGGGCCTTTGCCAAGGCAGTGACTTTACGGTGTTTTGTTTGTTTGGTTGGTTTTGGGTTTTTTACAGACTCCTTTGAGAGTGAAGAGAACTGTAGAGGACACAAGGTAGGCGTACCCAGAGATTTTTGAGTGTCATTTCAAGCAGTTTACAATTACTACCACCCCTCTTCTCACATGATACTATTTTAAGGTATTAAGTTTCAGTCAGTTCACTGAGGGTAAAGAAGTAACATGGTGCATTCATTCATTCATTCATTCAGTTAACAGGCAGTTATCAGGGATCAAATAATGGGTTAGACACTTGGAAAGCCATTGAAAGTAAAAGAAAGAACAAGATAGACAGGGCCCCAAGACATATACTCCCATGGGGCATGAAAGACAGACATTAAATAAGAGATGATAAAGGCTGTGAGGAAAAGAGAAAAGCTATTATGAAAACATGTAAGGCAGGTGGGATGAGGTATATGTGGATGGAGCACTGGTGTAGATTGTAAGGGTTCACGTCTAGCCCATTTCTGCCACAGTTAGGTGGTCTTGGGCACACAACAGTGACTTAGAGCCCCAAGTTCTTCAACTACAATGTGAATTGGTATGACTAAGTGTACAAGAAGTTCCTATTTTAATCTTTTATGATTCTGAGAGATCTAGAAATTTGGCAAAATCAAATAGAAAACTGAAAAAGACTAAAATTCTTTCAACAAAATTGTTCATCAATTTGTGTTTATAGGATGGTTAATGTTATTGCTTGAATTATATGAATAATTGTATTTTTAGTGAAGATCTGGTATGAGATTAATTTTGTTCATACAGTGGGGTATAGTTTTTGTATGGCTTATATATTTTTTTAATTATATTTTTCCATTACCAATTAGTCCCCTTATACCCCACTCTCCCCAGCATTCACCACACTGTTGTCCATGAGGCCTTTTTCCTTTTTGCTCAATCCCTCCACTCCCTCACCACCCCCAGCAACTAGCTGTCATCCTGCTCTCTATGTCTCCATTTTCCTTGTTATTTCAGTTCATTAGATTCCACATATGAGTGAAATCATATGGTATTTGTCTTTCTCTGACTGGCTTATTTCACTTAGCATAATGTTCTCCAGGTCCATCCATACTGTTGCAATAGGTAAGATTTTTCTTCTTTTTTACAGCCAAGTACTATTTCATTGTGTAAATGTCTCATAGTTTTTTTTATCTACTCATCTACTGATGGACACTTGAGCTGCTTCCATATCTTGGCAATTTTAAGTAACACTGCAACAAACATAGGGGTGCTTATGTTCTTTCAAATTAGTGTTTTGGGTTCCTTCGGATGTATTCCCAGAAGTGGGATAACTGGGTCAAAAGGCAGATACATTTTGAGGTATATTCTTACTGCTTTCCACAGTGGGTGCACCAGTCTACATTCCCACCAACAGTGCAAAAGGGTTCCCCTTTCTCCACATCCTCACCAGCACTTGCTGTATGAGTATATAGTTTTTTAAAGAAAATACTACTTAAATATGAAGAAATCTGTTCTAAAATACTCAACTTTTATTTGTGTTCAGTGCTTAAGTTATTACTTTGGAAACTTTCTGTTAGTATGTATACAATTTTGAGCTTTAAAATTCTGAACTTTGGGGTATTAACAAGAAAATGCAACACTTTCGGTTCGAGATGGCAGCATTTACCTCTCCTCCCACAAATGGAATAAATTGGTGAAAGTATAAAACAGGAGGGGGACACATCAGAGAACTAAGGTTTTGAAAAGAGAACAGAGAAAGTCGTTCTGTGAGCTTGTCACAAAATGTAGTACTGACGCTGCTGCATAGGAAAAGGTAGCAGGGCCCCTGGAAGAACGTGGCATTTTGAGACAGTTGTCTCTGGGTTGCAGTATAAATTCTGCAAATTAGTAATAATGAGTGACCATGAGCAAGTCTCCTTGTGAGGGACAGGATAATATCATGGTTATCATGGTTAGAGTGAACACTCTGGGGTCAGATTATTTGAATCTGAATTGCTTTTGTGCCACTTTCCACATGTGGGACCTTGGTAGTTTCAAATGTGTGCTTCAACTTTCTTAAGTACATGAATGCATGCTCCTCATTAAAATACAATATTAATATTTTAGCCCTGGCTGGTGCGTATGTACCGTTGTACATTCAAGTTCTTTGAGTCCTTTGTTTCCTATACCGTTTTTTAGCTTTCCCTGTCTATTAAGGGAGGGGAATTGCTGGAGCGTTGGGAGGGAACTGTGGAGGGGGAATAAAGGAGGAAAAATGGAGAAAACTATAATAGCATAATCAATAATAAACACTTTAAAATACAAAAAAAAGAAAGCTAATGATCAACTGAAGCATAGTGTATGTCTCTGGGGATGGGGAGAGAGGAATGGGATTAAGAGAGGGTGTAACATGTATTTCTTAGAAGAAAAGAACTAAAATAAATGTGGAAGCTATTTATTAGTCCTGAGTTGTTGATACACAATCTCTTTCTGTATCTGTAAATGTATTTGAATATTTTCTAATAAATTTTTTTTCAGTAATTTTTATCAGAAAACTCCAAAACAAGCTAATTGCCTAAAAGCCAGTTGGTTAAAACAGAGTAGCACTTTTAGGTTCACAAGTAGTAGCAATAAAAATTGTTAGAAGTTTTGAGGCAAGTGTTATTTTTAAATAAAAAAAGAGAAAACCCATCACATTTTTTTATTCATAAAACAAATATTTGATTGTAGGCAATTTCATTAAGAAGTTGCATTGACTTGTGGGAGCCAGTGTTTCTTTTGGTGTGATCAAAGTTTTAAAAAATTATTTGTAAGGTAAAAAACTCATTAATTAATTTTTTTTAAAATACAGTCTTCTTAGCCCTGGCTGGCATAGCTCAGTGGATTGAGCGCAGGCTGCAAACCAAAGTGTCGCAGGTTCGATTCCCAGTCAGGGCACATGCCTGCGTTGCAGGCTATGGCCCTCAGCAACCGCACATTGATGTTTCTCTCTCTCTCTCTCTCTCTCTCTCTCTCTGTCTCCCTTCCCTCTCTAAAAAATAAATAAATAAATAAAATCTTTTAAAAAAAATACAGTCTTCTTGAGGGCTTGCATTTTGGAGACCAGCCATGATCTTTATCTTTTTCCCAGTTTTTTTGAGAGATAATTGACATGTAACATTGTGAAAGTTTAAATGTACACCACCTGTTGATTTTACACATTTGTAAACTACAAAATGATCATCACCATTGTGTTAGCAACCACTCTGTCCATCCCGTCACTTAATGACCATGTCTGTTTTGTGTGGTGCGAACATTAAAACCTATCTTTAGCGACATTCAAGTCCACCATCTTTATTTTAATCTTAAGGGTTCTCATTTTAATTTTCTCTCCCCAAATTAAACGTTGTTTTAACTTTAAAGAAATAGGAAATATATGTATAAAAGTTTTTTTATTTCTACAGGTCTTTTTTGAGAGTAATTTCCCTTAATAGCTAGTAATATTTCTTTCTACCCTTGTCTTTGAAGATATGTATTATCATTACTATTACTGATTATTTATATTCAGTTCTCTCTAGATATTTATTTTTGTTTCTTTTGAATTTTTGCTAATAATTTAGGATTTAAGATTTTTCCCTGCATATAGATTTCTAACTGGGTCTTATGGCTTATTTCTGTAATAACACCCTTGGAAATAACTTCTCCCATTTTTTGATGCAATTTAGCTGCAAACATTGTTCACCACTTTTGTTCCTGTTTGGTTTTGGAAGGCTCATTTCTTTGTGAATTAAATATTAGAATAATTTCTCATTTGGAATATGGTTTATTTTCTGGCTCTCCTGGTCACCAAATAATTATTTTATTATTGGTAAATTACATTTAAATATAGTAAACTCTTAGTTTCTAGACTCCAAAAACCTAGAAAGATAATTTATTAAAAATAAGATTCTGCTCTGGCTTGTGTAGCTCAGTGAATTGAGCACTGGCTTGTGAACCAAAAGGTCGCCAGTTCAATTCTCAGTCAGGGCACATGCCTGGGTTGCAAAACAGGTCCCCAGTAGGGGGCACGCGAGAGGCAACCACACATTGATTTTTTTCTCTCCCTCTCTTTCCCTTCCCCTCTCTAAAAATAAATAAAATCTTAAAAAATATATTGTTTTAGTAATACTTAATATTAAAATATCCTGAAATATTATTATATTTCATATTGCTTTGGGAAATGTATTACAAGAAAATTATTCAAGATAGGTTCAGGGTTATGGATTATTGTTCTCTAATATGGTGTGTAAATTATGAGTAAAATATTCTGAACCTGAAAAACAAGAGAGAACAGAAATTGGATTTGGAAAGCAGATTGGATGATATAAAAGAATAAACCACAACATAGGAAGCCACATCTCAAAAGAATTTTGAAGTAAGAGAAGGCTAGATAGCACAGGTGATAACTTTTTTTTTTTTTGATTGAAGAATGAACCTGTGGGTGGGCTGCTTGGATTGGTCTCTAATACTCTTAGGTAGCAGTGGTGTTTGCCTTAGGAGGCTGCAAGAGTACTCTGTACAAGCAAAGCATCTGTTTCAGAGAAGCCAGGGCTTCAACATACCAGTTAGTGCTCTAGAGTAGAATCCCCCATTTTTTGGCTTTTTTTTTTATTCTGGTGGGAATTCAGTGTAAACTCCTGCTGGCCTACCACCTTGCCAGATTCTTACCTTCTCACTCTAAACAGAAGCCTGCTTGTTCACATGCTAGCGCTTGCAACCAGAAGCCACGTACCTTGCTCTTTCATTCATAAACATGACCAGGCAATCAAGGGAGCACAGAAGTCTCACAAATTGGGTTGTGATGCATCTTCTGAATATAATGTCATGCAGCTATTGAAATATTTATAAAGAATTTGCAGTAAAAATGGTTTATAAGAAAAAAGCAGATTGTAGCTTTAAAAGGAAGACTGTCAGTGTTTTGTGTGGCAAGGAAAGCCACCATCATTTTGTGGTTGTAGATCTTTCACATCTGGAATATATGCACTTCTAATAATGTGAGCTCTTTCTCCCTTTAAAAAGTTTTACCAACATCTGTAAAAATGGTTATACTGTAGAATGATTCTGACCAATAATATTCTCTATCTGTGAACATACATTTTTGAAGTGATATTTGGAGAAAACAAATTTGCTTTTTCAAAATGGAAGGGGGAAAGCCTATAAAATTCTATTAAATGTTATAAGTTTACAAAAACTAAAAGTTAGGTTTGGAAAACACGATTGTATCACATAATACACAAACATCTTAATAGTATGTAACTTTAGCTAGTAAGCCTATTAATCACTTTTTCTTAGTACTTTTACATATTTTCCCAATTTTTTATAACAGGAAAAAAATAAGCTTTATTTAAACAATTTTAATGATCTTTTGAAACTCCTTGGATATCATGAAGGTAGAACATAATTTCATTATCTATGAGAATGTTAAAAGCAATTGTTATTTAAAATGTATAAGGATAAGGAGTCCCAAAAATAGCATGTAAAACAGGAACTAGCAATATGACATGTTACTGAGAACACACTTTAACATAATAACATTCGTCTTTTTTTCCTACTGAGTCTAATAATATACTAAGAACTATTGCTTCTTTCTAACAGACTCAGGTTGAACGTGAAAAACATAGTAAATTGCAAATTATTTGTAGGCTCAGATCTAAGATTCAGAACCAACAGACCCCATCACAGTATCTCAGTCAGTGAATGAGGAAGTTAGATGCTAAAGGTGATATTTTGGGAAAATTGATCAGGCATCAAGCATATTTTCTGCTTTCTTCTTTTACCAGTAAACTCTTTTATATTTTAAGAACTAAAGAAAGCTCTTTGTATTTTATTTTAATTCTGACCCTTACTGTACCACAAATAGAGTTTGCAAATCTCTAAATGCATAGATTTTAGAACAGGAAGTATTAAATAATACACGTTTTCAAATAATTATATGAACACTGACATAATTTCTCAGAACTGTAGTATCATAGGTAGTCAGAGATGAGGAATTTGTAAATGTATTGCGTAATATGTTTCTTATCAAGCACAACAGCATTGACTATTTCTGTGGCAATACAAGGCATGGAAATAATAAACAACCCTAAACAGGAAATTTCAGTGACTTCCTGACAGAAATAACAAGTGCTGTTGATCCTGGTGCCTTTGAAAGACCCGTCCTGTGTCTTCTTGAAGCTTTTACTAAACATAGCAGTACTCCAGACCAGCCATTTGCAACCGTTTTCATGTCACGGCACACATAAACTAATTACTAACATTCCGCAGCACACCATAAAATGTATTTTTTGCCTCTCTGACAAAAAAATAGTTATAATTTTGATTCATTCACACCCAACAATTATGTTGTGTTGGCAGTTGTCATTTTTTAAATTTGACAGTGTGAGGGGAAAGAGGCCAATGGCCCTGACTAAATAGTCAGGTACTGCATATTTTAAAAATTCTTGCGGCACACCAGTCGAAAATCGCTGCTCTAGACTAAACATCCTTCAATAAAAGGAACATTTTAGTACACTACGCATATGACTAAATTGGTGGAATAATTTTAGAAAATAATTTTGTAATCTGGAGTTTTGACAATGTTCATAGCTTTTAATCCAGTGAAGTAATTCTGCTAGCCCAAGTGCAGGTGTAGAGGGAAGAAATTAGGTACAGAGATGCTATGCTAGCAAAATATTGGAGAATGCCATTATAGTCCAAGATTTTAGTTCATCTCGATGTTTTAGTTGCACAAATTAGAGATTACCATTATTATTTTATGTGGCTATTGCCCATTGTGTCTATGACTTTATTTACTGTTCATTCCTTCCTGCAGCTCAGATGTTTCTTCAAGTTCTCTTAATGTGAATCTTCTAATAAGCTTTTATCTTTCTCTTTTCCTTCTTTTTCTTTTTGCCCCAGGCAAGGGAAGTAATGATTTATCTTCGTCTCTTCTCTGTCTGTATCTGTTTGTCCCTGTCTCTCTGTTTCTCTCTCTTTCTCTCTAATGCCTTTATTTTGCCTCATTTCTTGAAAGATCATTTTATTAGATACAGAATTTTAGATTGACAGTTATTTTCTCAGCAATTAGAGATACTATCCCACTGATATCCTCATTTGTTGCTCTGAGATGTAAGCCTCTTGTTTGTCCCTTTAAGAGCCTTTCTTCCCCTTTGATTTTCTGCAGTTTGACTGTGCTCTGGCTTCATTGTGCTTTCTGAATTCGAGGGCCAATGTGAGATTTTGGGTTTTATCACTTAAAAAGACTACAGGACCTAAAAGGCTAGTCTCCTTTCCTGCCCGTGCCTTCATATTCTAATTCAATAGCATCCTCCAACAAGCAGATCTCACAGGATCTTGCATATTCTATGTCCCAGGCCTGATTACCCCGGGGGTCCGCCGACTCTGGCCTGGGCTTCACCGCCCCTGTTATTTCCGCAGGCCTGAGTCGGGCAGAGGAGACAAAGGCAGCCAGGAGACTTGGATTTCTCACAACTAAGAACAAGGACTCAGGCTTTGACAAAGCCGAGGGGGCAGGGGTTGATATTGATCACCCCTTCATTTCCACAGTCCCCTGAGTCTCTTTCCTGAGGCCTCCACGTGATCATACCTGTCTTAGGCGATTCCCTCCTTGGGAAATCTTACCTGTCATTGGCTACCTGATCAAGCATTAGAGGCCAGGCACAGAATAGGCAGCATTCATGTGAGGGAAATAAGTTTCATCTCCTTAGTGTCTCCTGGACTGGAGGTCTCTCACTCAGCCTTAGCCATAGGGGGGTTACAGCTTCCTGAGACCAGGCAGGGCAGACCCCACATCTGTTAGATACCTTCTCCAGCACTCCATCTCTCCTCAGTCTCATCTACAGCTCCAATTAGGGTTATGTGAGAACTTCTGTGTTCATCATACCCCTCAACCACTCATATTTGCCTTCTGTTGAATTCTGTGCTTCATTCAAGAAAGGAGGAATTTCTTCAGATCCTCCTTTTGATTGTTTTCTTTCCAGCTGAGTCTAACCTCACTTTTCAACCCTCCAAAGAGCAGTAGTTTTCAAAATGTGGATTGTGTCACCATTTTCTAGAAAGCTAGTAAAGAATACAGAAGCCCCAGGCTCACTGCAGTAGGAGAGGGCCTGGGCCCTGGTTCTTTCCAAGTTCCCCAAGTGATTCCGAAACTTGCCGAAGTTCAAGAACCACTGCCACTGAGGTTTTCAGTTTAATTACTATTACTTTTCTTTTCCTCGGGTTGCACTTAGTTCTTTTCAAACTTGTCTGTCCAGCTTGATAATCCTTTGTCATATTTCTATTTCCTTCCTTTATTCTCGAAACCTGTTAGACATAACTGCTTTATATTCTGGATCAGATCATTATTCTATCTATAGTCTTTCTGTTTTGTTGAACAATCATTTTTGCTGATCCTTGTGAACTGTGGCCTGTTTCCTCAAGTGTTCAGTGATTTTTCATTTCAAACTCACGCTCTTTGGAATTTAACTTTATCTGCTGGGATAATTTAAAGCTTTGTTCACAGCTTTTCACCCAGAGAGGATTTGCTCTGGATTCTGCCAGGTCCTGTAGGTGCTGTCCCCAGGAACAATGGAAGCTTAATTTTTGGCCTGAGATTTTAGTGCCCCACAGGTCTCTGAATTCAGATCCCAAACTTGGGCAAAGACAGGCTTCAGGCTAGAAATGTTTTCTTTTTTTTTTCTGTTTCATCCTATTGTATATATGACCTTTTCCACATGGTCTGCCTCTGAGGGGTGAGGTTTTGTTTTCTCCCCACCTCCCACTTAGCTTTTGCCCATTAGGTACCCTGGCTTTGGTGGAGGGAAGAAATGACCTCTGATTCTCCCCTTTGCTCTGTTTGGGGCATTTGGCTTTGTCTCCTGACCACTGCGTATGTGGCCCATTGGAAACTGAGGCCCAGGCCAACATGGGTCAGACTCCACCCCTCAGCCAAACACGCCTCCAGTGCTCACTCACACCTGAAGAGTCAGGCTTTTATAATTCCTGGCCTCTGAGGATTTTTAAAAATTTCCTCCCAGCACAGCTATGCAGTACTGAAAGTATTTTAAAAATTATTTTAAATATCTCAGCTGATATTTTTAGCTGTACTATGCTAGGAGGGGTTTCTGTGACGGTCTCATGTGTCACCTTGCTGAAAATGAAACACTCAGACCTTGGTATAGATTTGGGGACTCTATTATCTAATATTGAGGGAGCGTATTTTTGTGAGCAGCAAGCCTCCAGAATATCTTATACTTCTGTGTCTGGTTTTAGAAAGAAATATGATTGATTTAATAGTAGTTGAAAAATGCTGTTTCACCTAAATATGTTTTGTTTGGATATTAACAGTTTATGGCATTACTTATGTTATGCTAACTTTAGCCAATGAGCTTTTTTCTTTTTATTACTTTAAGGAGGTAATTGAGTTCTATGTTCAAAATGAAAATTCAGTAGACAAGTGGAAAAAACCTTCAGTAATTGATAAACTCAAGGTAAGAAAAATAAAACCTTTAACAATGGAAAATTTCTCTGTAGGTTTTTTTAAGACCTTAGGTTGTTTTTGTTGCTGCTGTTATATATGTAAAGGATAATTATATCAATAATAACTTTTTTAAAAAAATTAAAAATAGAATCTAATAAACAAATTAAGTTGCATAATGTTTTATGTATAGTGATGAAGACAGCCTTTTAAAGCTGTTCAAAGGAAAGAAATACCGTGAACACTGCTTACCACCATCTGTCACTTAATTGAGACTAACGTCAAGCAAGGCATTTGTCTTACATGGGCTTAACCCAACTTTCATGTTTTCAAATCACAATGCAAAAAATTATTCGGCATAATTATGCTCAAGTATGGGAGCTTTTGTAGTAGCTCTGTTCAGTAAGAAGTACTCAAGCAAATTTGTTTTTTTAGCCAAATCCAAAGAAGCTTGGAGGAAAAGTCATTTCTTTATCAGTTAAGTAACTATTGATGATGATGAATTAATAGTGACTTGTTTTGCATAATAGGATAAAATGAAATAAATAAGTTCGTAAATGTTTTTAAATTTCAAAAAGCTTAAGTGTCAATATCTTAAAAATAAAACTATTTTAGGTCATGGCAAAGTATGATCACTCTGGCATATTCTTCACCTTGACAGGAAATGGCCAAAGCAGAAGGTCTCTGGAACTTGTTTTTGCCTGCTGTGAGTGGTCTCAGCCAGGTGGACTATGCCTTGATTGCTGAAGAAACCGGAAAATGCTTCTTTGCTCCAGCTGTCTTTAACTGCCAAGCACCAGGTTACTACATTATTAAAAACAGATGTTCTCACATGTTTTGAGCGGTATTTAAACTTTCTGTATTTTATGACGGGGAAGTTTTTCATACATAAAGTTGTTGATTTAAATTTGTCTATAATTTTACTTCTTAGTTACTTTGATTTAGATATTAAAAACTGGATCTAATGTTCTCAGTGGATTACTCTTTTGTTAAACATCATTACATTAAGAGTATTAGTTAATAGAATCTGCCACCTAAGGGATTTATAGTGTAATTATGAGTTGCATTTTCCTGATTGGATATTTGATATTTCTATGGCTAGTTGGCATGAATAGAGTTCCAAATCTTTTGGTTAGCTTCACTGTCTTTCCATGTATTCACCAATTATTTATTATCTACTATGTGCCAAGCCCTGTTTTAGATCCTTGAGATATATCAAGGAATAGAATAAAGAAAGATTCCTGCCCCCATGGAGCTGATATTCTAATGAAGGGAGAAAAAAAATAAGTGATCAATATAGTAAATAAATAATGTAGTAAGCTTGAAGATGAAAAGTGCTTTGGGAAAAAAGGTCTCAGCAGGGTAGGGGCACTCTGGAATGCTGAAAGAAAGGAATATGGATTACAATTTAAAATAGAACAGTTGGACTAGGCCATATTTAGAAAATGACATTTGATAAAGACTTGAGAGAGCTCACCATGCTGATGTCTGGGGGAAGAGTTTTCAGAGCCGAGGGAACACAAAATATATGGCCTGAAGGCAATAATGTGATAGATGTGTTCCGGGAATAGCCGAGGAGACCAGTGTGGCTGGGAGAATAGTAGAAGACATCAGAGAGGAAAGGACCTTATTTATACGTTGGGCTTTATAGAGCAGGTAAGGGCTTATCACAGTGAAATGGGAAGCCATTGGAGGTTTGAGCAAAGCAGTGACATGATATGACTTAGGTTTTAAAAGTATCACTTTGGCTGCTATGTTGAGAATTAACAGAAGGAGGGAAGTGGGGAATTTATTGTAATTATTATAGTGAAATATGATGGCAATTTGTTCTAGGGGACTAGCAGTAGAAGGAGTGAGAAGTGGAAAGATTCTAAATATATTTTGGAGGCAGAGCCAAGAGGATTTCCTGATTGGATATGGGGTATACATGGGGAAGTCAAGGACACCACTGCTAAGGACTTTGACATGAAAATTGAAAGGATGAGGGAAGGAGGCTAACTTTTCTTTAAAAAAAATAGTATGGAATATAATCTGTTAAAAGTGTTTTCAAAGCTGGATTTTCAGAAGAACCACCTAAGGAATTTTTAAAAATCTGGATTCATAGGCTCCATCCCTGGAGACTGTGACTCAGTAGGTCTAGGGTAGACCCTGGGAATACTCTGATGCTGCCAGGCAAGAACTGGCAGTTGATGTGCAATAGAATGGTGATGGTGTGGTAGCCTGTAGTATTCCTGCCCAAGTTAGGCCTCAGTATTGTCTTTTGTGCTCATTGTGTGGCCCTGATGCTAAAGCTCTCTCTGAAGAGTTAGTGAAGGGTGGAATTGCCAAAAAGAGGTATATTGGATAGCTGAGAGAAAACACAAGCTGGTGTTTTAGCAAAGTGTTTCCTCCCTGTTCTTTGACTCTTCATTTCTTTGTAACAATTGAGATAGTTCCTAGACTTCTGTTGATGACTCACCTTGACTCTGGTGTGATTTTCCCTCTTCAAAACCCCGATTTATCAAATCACTGTTGTAATACATTTTAATCTAACAATGAGGCTATTGTGAAAGTAAAGAAATTGATTCACAAAGTTTCTAAAGATTCATCTCATTGGTGTGAAGCTATTACATCATATTGCATAGGTGGCTCACTTTTGTGGAAAGAGAACTGCTCATCTTTTGTATAAAACTTTTTTGTTGTTAATAGTAAGAAATATATTTTATAATGTGACTCTCTATATGGCAAAGAGAGTTGTTTGAGTCTTCATTAATGGATAAAGCGGGGGGTGTTGGGGGAGATAAAGTGGGAGAGAGATGCTTATATATTATTGAAAAAAAGGCTTGCGCTGGATGGTGTGGCTCAGTGGATTGAATGCCAGCCTGTGAACCAAAAGGCTGCCTGTTCGATTCCCAGTCAGGGCACATGCCTCGGTTGTCAGCTAGGTCCCCAGTAGGGGGCACATGAGAGGCAACCACACATTGATGTTTCTCTCCCTCTCTTTCTCCTTCCCTTCATCTGTCTCTAAAATTAAATAAATAAAATCTTTTTTAAAAGAAAAAAAGGCTTCATGAAACAAGTTTCCCTTACTACATTCACATGTTTTCCACTGAGTCTAATCTAATGTAGTCTGTTTTGATCTATTTTAGTTTTTATGGATGCTAGCCATATTCCACTAAGTTGATTCCATGACACACTAATGAGTCATAATATGAAAAATAATGCTATAGAGGACATCCTTTGCACATGCAGCTCTACCACTATTTCTCTGTTTGACTTGTGAACTTACTTTTCACAAGATGGTTGTGTTCTTTTTTTTTTAATTTCATGAGTCTATCAGTTGTACTGTGTAAATGATATCACCAAACCACTGAAATTTTTAAATTGGCCAGGGAAATGCATTTTCTTTGATCAAAGTATGATCAACAATTCTCCTCAGCAAACAAGATGTATAAAATCATAAGTAGAAAACTAGGCATTTTCTCTTTGTAGTGGAGATCTCTTCTTGAAGGGCTCAGGGCATTGTGTTTTGGAGCATTTCCAAAGCAGATAAAAAGGGCATATAATGGATGCCAATTAAATACTTTGAGAGGTTTCTTAAGTATAAAAGATGAATTCCAATAGGCTTCCAGTCAAGATGGTGACATAGGCAGACATGGCTCACCTCTTCACACAACCACATCAAAATTACAACTAAACTATACAACAGCCATCACTCAGGAACATCAGAATCAGGTTGAATGGAAGTTTGACAACTACAAAATCCAGCTGAATGGAAGTCCGACAAGTACAGAGTTGAAACCACATCTACCCAGACTGGTAGGGGACGCAGATACAGAACGGGCTGGTCTCACACCCACTTAGATAAAAATTCAGGAGGGATATCTTGGGAGCAAGTAGTCCCAGACCCACACCAGGCCTCCCAGCCCAGGACTCCAGTGCCAGGAAGATGAGTCCCCACAACTTATGGCTGCAAAAACCAGCAAGGATTGAGTCAGTGGAGGAGGCTGCTAGATCCCTAAGCAGTTCCTCTTAGAGAACCCACAGATGGCCTAGCCTACTCAGACTTGCTCCCTCTGAGCTCCAGAAGCAGGATGGCAGCTTGAAAGGCACCAGCGGCACACAGAGAGAAACTGAAGTGTCTGGCATCAAGGCAAGCAGAGACCATTGTCCCTTTTCTAAACCCTCATCCCACAGACCCAGCAGGCTAGTGCGATATCTGAGACTCCATCAACCTGGCTAACACTGTGGGATCCACCTTGGTGATCCACAGAGGCTGTACCCCACCCAAGCTGCTCTTCCATAAGAATGGCTAGTATTGGCTCTTAAATCCTATCAAACAAGCAACAGCTGGTCTCAATGAGTCCTGGAAGCAGCCAGATTAGAGTCACAGTTTGACTTCACCTGGGAATCTCTAAGCCTAGCAGAAGTAGCAGTCATCTCAGATTGCTTTACAGTTCAGGCAGAGTGCCCCGAGAAAAACACAGGTGGAGGCTGACCTTGGCCTGCACCACCATGGAAACCCCAGGGACTGTGCACCCAGACCACATTGGAGCACCACCCTGCCCCTGCATAGCTGATCCTCCACAGAGGGCAAAGTTTGGTGGTAGTGGGCACAGCCAATCCTTACAGCTGACTGGCCTGGGTGAATCCCTCCCATTGTTCTGCCCACTGAAACCAAGGCTCGACTACAAGAGGAGGGTATACTCAGCCCTCACAAAGGGCACACTTCAAGTACCCAGCTGAGGTGATAGGGGAGGCTATGCCACTGGAGCCTACGGACACCTACTACATTAGGCCACACTACCAAGACATGGAGTCAAAGCAGCTCTACCTAATACATAGAAACAGACACAGGGAGACTGCCAAAACAAGGAGACAAAGAAATATGGCCCAAATGAAAGAACAGATCAAAGCTCCAGAAAACAGCTAAATGAAATGGACAGAAGCAATCCATCAGATACAGAGTTCAAAAACAGTCTTTCATAAGGATGCTCAAGGAATTTAGTGAGGGCCTCAGCAGCATAAAAAAGATCCAGTCAGAAATGAAGGACACACTAATTGAAATAAAGAACAATGTACAGGGAAACAGCAGTAGAATGGAAGAAGCCAAGAATCAAATCATTGATTTGGAACATAAGGAACCAAAAAACAATCATGCAAAACAAAAAGAAGAAAAGGGAATCCGAAAAAAAGAGGTTAGGAGAAACAGCCTCTGGGACAACTTTAAGAGATCCAACATTCACATCATAGGGGTGCCGGAAGGAGAAGAGAAAGAACAAGAAATTGGAGATCTATCTGAAAAAATAGTGAAAGAAAACTTTCTTATATTGGTGAAAGAAATAGACATGCAACTCCGGGAAGTATAGTCCCAATTCTGATGGGTGCAAAGAGGCCCACTCCAAGATACATCATTATAAGAGGCCAAAGGTTAGAGATAAAGAAAGACTCGAAAAGCAAGATAAAGGAAGTTTAGTTACCAGTAGGTTGCCAGATGGGAGCAAGGAGGGGGAAGATGCGTGAAGAGGTGAGGGGATTGAGAAATGTAAATATGTACTTACAGAATAGACATGGGATGTAAAGTATAGTATAGGAAATGGAGTAGCCAAGGAACTTATACACATGACTCGTGGACGTGAACAATGGTAGGGAGACTGCCTGAAGGAGTGGAAGGGTGATGGGTGGAAGGGGGCAAAGAGGAAAAATCAGGACAACTGTAATAGCTTAATCAATAAAATATAATTTTTTTTAAGAAAGGTAAATTTCTGCTCAAGATACCTAAATTATTTCCCAAGTAGTTATAAAAGTTTATAGAAAACATATGTCATCCCATTTGGCTTTTTTGAGCTTTGCCCTTTAATAAGTCATACAGTATTGTATATCGGAGTGCTGAAAGTAGCAATTTTAATTCTAAAGCTATTAGTGGAAAATTGGGGGTCCATTGGGCTGATTAGGGGAGAAACTTTTGTAGAAGTAATTTACCTAGGCTCTTTTCCCAACCCATAGATAATAGGTTCATTGGGCCGGCGTCTTGGAATAAACTGCTAAACCCTTTTGGAGAGTTTATTTTCAACATTTACCCCATTTGAACCATAACAAGAAACACTGAATTTAAAACAAGCAAAGAAAACAATGAGCTTCAGTTTTTTCAACTCAGGACTCATTTTCTTCCTCAGTCAAAAAGAATTTTAAGCTTGTGTTAATCTGAGAATTTTGCATTTTAATATGACTTTGGCTCCATTATGAGTATCTGAACAGAGTATAAACATATTTTGAGAGACTTAACTCAATTTTCATAGGCATTTTAGTGGCTGTCCTGAAGTCATTGTAAGAGGTGATGTTGAAAAATTCTTTCTCAAAATCTTATAAGTAATCAGTATTTAAGGGAAAGGTTTCAGATATTATTTTTTGAAATTCAATAGGAATGAAAATCAGAGAAAGGCACCTAGGACACCTACTTTTGCTCTATGGCAGACACGAGGCTTTTCTTTCTTTTTTTTTTAAACACCTGAGAGTGGTACTACAGTGTCATCGTGCACTGCACAATGCCTGCTGAGGGTTGTAGAGGGTCTTTGTCATTTTCTACCCAGGGCAGGGATTCTGTGTTTAGCAGCATCCTTGTTATATAAGCTGGTACTTTCTTAGACAGTGTTGGGCACACAGTAGTAAGAACAATGTTAGAGGTAAAGAGAAAATAATTACTATGTGAGCTCAGAAGGAGATATTTCTGACTGGGTAGTCCAAGATTCTTCATAACAAAGGTGGCTCAGAAGCAGGAATTTACTTAGGAATGATGGGTAGAATTTCAGTTGAGAGAAGGCCTGGCTGGTGCAAACATATGGAAGTTAGAAAGCAAAGAGTGTGTTTGAGAAACTGGAGTCTCAGTAAAATAATGTTCATTGTTTTCCAGGAGTGTTTCAACCTTGGCAGAGCATATTTACAAGATACCCAGCAAAGGTTAGGCCAATAAATTGTTTCCATCAGTCCTAATTGAGTTAGATCTCATTAGAACCATGCTTCATTGAGATAAAGTGGACAAGTGTCTGTGGTTCAGAACAAGCCGAATAAATATGCACTGAGAGCCATGTACTTATAAATACTGTATGGCATACCTTTGTTGTAAATTATATTTACCATTGTGCTTCAAAATATTGTTAGCAAACGTTTGCTTTAAAAAGATGAACATCTGTATTATCTAATTCTAACATAAATTTTAGACTTCAATATTAGTAAAGTGTACAATTCAAAACAAATGCTTTTCTTATCACATAGACACAGGGAACATGGAGTTACTCCACCTATATGGAAGTGAAAAGCAGAAGCAGCAGTGGCTTGAGCCTCTTCTTCAAGGGAGCATTGCTTCCTGCTTCTGTATGACAGGTAAAAAAGCAAACCACTCTTTCTCGTGCAGTCCATCACCCCAGAGGCATTGTGGGTGAGCAGAAGAAATGTGGGGTGTGCTCTGTGTGGCAGGCAATTTGTTCATGGTTAGAATGTGAATAGCTTTGTTTTGAGCACAGTTTTAAATTTGGGCCCTTTTTAAAAATTTGTATTTATTTGTTTTTAGAGAGAGGGGAAGGGAGGTGGGGGCGGGGAAGAAAGGGAGGGAAACATTGATCTGTTTCCTCTCGCATGTCCCCTGTCTGGGAACTGAATCTGGGACCCACGTATGTGCCCTGACCAGGAACCAAACCAGCAACCCTTCATTTTGCAGAACAATGGCCAACCAACTGAGCCACACCGGATATGGCTAAATTTTGGAATTTTTAAATGTGCAGAATAAAAGTTGTCCTCCCCTTAGGGAGGACACGAGGTGTTGTTTTCTGGTAGGCATTAGCAGCAGAGTACACCTAGTTTCATAATACTTTGTCTTGCTTTTCTAAAATTGTCACCTATGGATATTAAAGATCATTTTTGCCCTTATGTAAGAAATATTCATCTTTGTGATAATTTTGTATTGATACTTACAAAATACTTAACTCTGCATAAACCCGGAAAAGTAGAACTTTCACCAATGCTGGTCATGTAGCTTAGATTATCTTATAGGGAAATACAGCTAGGAGCATGTTAGTAAAAATGGTTTGGTACCATTTGCACATAGGAAACACTAATTAAGAACTCCTGAAGAGACAAACATTATTTCATAATTGAAATAAAATTAAGCTAAATTTCATCTGGTCGTAATTTTGGCCAGATTTTATTGTCTTCTATAACACTACATACATTTATAATAGCACGCTGCTCTCTATTTAATCAGTAAGCGGCATTTACAACACCTGCAGTACGATGTGCTCTCTGTCTGTAAAGCACTAATTTGAGGCTACAGAATAAGTAGAGTCCACGGCCCCCTTTCTGAAGAAACTGAGTCTCTAATTTTAGAAACTGAGCACATGAAATATCTAAAGGACCCGTTTAAAAGAACATTTTATTACCAAGTGCAGATTACTATGACTGGGAGCGAGCCTGTGGATGCAGAAATCCCATGCAGTAAAGCACTTGTGTAAGAGTTCCATGGAAAACTTTCTGAAGATGCTAAGTGATGGGCAGGCTTTATAGAAAGCAAAATAAGTCAGGGAAAGCATTCCTGATGGAATTTGCAAGGCATAGTTAGAAATCCTTTAAGATAGTAAACTGTATGGTAAGGAAATCTGGCTTGTAAATATTTAGTACAGACTTCCGTTGTGGGAAAAACAATGTTTTTAATCTACTCTTGATGACTGGAAAAAGGATTGAGTTTTATCCTATCATATATCAATGAGATAACCAAGAACACAGTTCAGATGGCTGATCTTCACTGTTCTAACTACTTCATTCACTTATTCTTCCAATGAACATTTATTGAACACCTACTATTTGTAGGTTCTCCCGAACCAGGGTGGAATGGGGGAAGGATAGGAAGATGAAAAAGACAAAGATGGTCTGTCCTCAGAGAGTTCACATTTCCCTCTGTAAGTCTCTTTTGTAAACTGACATTTGCCTTCCTGTAAATTCAGCCTTTGTTTATTTGTAGAGCCCGATGTAGCATCCAGTGATGCCACAAATATTGAATGTAGCATCCAACGAGATGGAGATAGCTATGTAGTTAATGGCAAGAAATGGTGGAGCAGTGGTGAGTATTCAAATTGATCCTTTGTGCTAGATGCTGTCCTAAAATAATATGATACATGGCTATTACTTTTACAATGACAGGTCTTTAAATTCTGCCTTAGCATTTTCAAATTTAGAAATAGCAGATAAAAAGAAAAGTAATTTTATAACATGTCTTGATTAGGTGATGTTAAAGAGCAGAAAACGTCTTTTTCTTTGACAGTTTGTGAAAGATAAAATTCATATTAATGCACAATATTTTTTACCTTTGGATTGTCTATCAAAATTAAATTTTAATAGAGACATATCATATGTACTACAGTAATTTATATGTAGTTGTTTTTAGAGAGAAACTGTATGTTACCTAAAATAATTTATTGTGCTACATATTTTCATGTCTTAAAAATACAAGTTTTTAAATGAAAAGTAAGACATTTTATACATAGAAGAATACATTGTTTAGTCAGCTCTCAGTAATAGACTCACATAAATAAATGAACCCTTTAGAAAGTTATAAAAGTAACTAATTATAGTAATTATCAGATGTGGTTGTCTGAGGATCGCTTCCAGAGTGTGCATGATAAATCTAATGGGATAACCAGTTCCCTACTAAAGAAAGGTGACATAGGGAAGCAAACTGTGTATTTAGAAACTTACCAGAAATGTATTAAACAGGCCAGAAAAGCTTTTTATGTACTTTTTTATTGTTGATTGTTATTTTGGGAGTTTTATGAACTCACAAATTAAGAAACAAGAAGGGTAGATTAAATTTTGCTGTATAGTTATTCAAGTATTAAAATTATACAGGAAAATCATTTTTATGTAATGTAAAATAATAATAAATGCCCCTTAATATAAGCCTCTTTATTGATGTTAGATGGCCTACTTATAGCATGATGGTCTTATTACTTATGCTTGTTACTACTATTTTCCAATATTGTTTATTTTAATTTGCATGTTTTATGCATTATTTTGTTTCCTCTTCTTGGCTTCTACCCTCCCCTGTTCCTCACCCTAACTCTTCTTTGTTGTAAGTTTTGACCACGTGTCTGAGGTTTGAAGTTCAGAATAATGCAGATGTTTTATCTGAGGGCGAAGCATCATTCATGTGTATCGAAGCAAGACAGAAGGCAGTTTTACATTTAAATGCTAAATGTACTGGTTGGCTCTGTAAGGACTTCAGAATCCAAAGGAATCTCTGCATTTTGTCTTTGTCTTCTTCTCCAGGACCCATATTTCTTAGCAACTTTCATAATGTAGTTTTTAAAAGAGGACCCCATAAAAACATACAGGACTGGGTTGAGGCAGCTGTGAAAGAGTGCAATGCTCTCTGTGATCTGGATGGCAACATCCATGCGTTTGCTCATTTCGCAGTCGGTGATCAGGGAGTAGATGATGTCTATGGCTTGGCAGAACTTGACAATGTTGTAAGGCAACTGAGTGACAATGAAAACTATAACCACTGTGAACAGAACTTTGAGGGGTCCAGATTTTTTAATGTTTGGCATCTTGATGAGGGTCCTTGCCGTGATAAAGTAGCACACGCCCATAATGAGAAAGGGAATAACAAATCCGATGCAGATTTCCAGCATTTGAATTGATGCCTTCAGTGATGTTTGCAGGTGGTATGGAAAGATGGGAATGCACCTAGCGTTGTGATTTACTGTATAAAAAACCAGCTGAGGTATACTTAGCAAGATGGCAAACATCCAGACACAGAAGCAGATGAGCCGGCATGGTTTTCCCACCCCTGAATGGCTCGGTGCTTTAGTAACTGCCCAGTATCTGTCTATGCTGATACAAGCCAAAAACTGCATTCCAGAGACAAAGTTGACTGTGTACAAGGCTGAAGTGACCTTGCACATGATTTTCCCTAAAACCCACCCATGAACTGCATTAACTGCCCAAAAGGGCAGAGTGAATAGGAGTAGTAAATCTGCCACTGCCAAATTCAGGATGTACACATCTGTTTTGGTTCTCTGCTTCTTGTAATAGGCATAAATTGCCACTACTATGGAGTTTCCGGCAAGTCCAATGATGAAAGCTATTGTGTAGAAGGCAGGCAGGAAAACTTTGGCAAATTTCCTGACCTCTTCTTTTACACAGACCACTTCATACTGACTGTAGTCGTGAGTGCCGTTTATTTCATTTTCCTCGTAGTAGTAATCCATTGATTGGTTGTGTTCCAAAGCCATGGCTGCAATCTAAATGGCAAAAAGAAAACAGGATACTCATTTTAATGTTGCTTAAAAGGAAACACTTTTTATCTAGCATGTTTTGTTCTCTTACTAGAGAATAGTTTGTTGCAATAACATCCATGAACCTGAATCTGCCATTTTTTGAAACCCTTAATGGAAGCCACACTGGAGTATATATCCCCAAGAACCTTTTTCATCCTTGTCTTCATACGTCTGGGTGCAGGAGCTAGGATTTACACAAGGAAGCTAAAAATAATACCCTGAGGAATTTTCTTAATCATTAAACCCTAAATAAAAGTCATGACTTATTTTGTGAAAATAGTTTTTAAAATATGAAAGTTTAGTCAGATTTCAACTAAAAGGAATAAAAAATGTTATCATTTTTACATATACAAGTTTGTGATTTGTATGCAGTATATTGACCAATTAAGTAAAAATACTTATTTTAATTACTTAAAGTTCCTTTTTATGTTATATATTTATAAACTTATGTTGAAATGTTATCTGAGCACGTATGCTCAACTTCACTAGTTGGCATTTATAAAGCAGTCTCTTCTAGTTCGCCTTCCTCCAGATGCTGCCACTACCTGCTCATCGTCCACCACTGTTCGCTAGCGCTGTCACTCCACTGGTCCCCCAAGCCCACAAGTCACTTGAGCACGCACCATCCTGACTTCTCTCTTACCTTCATCTGTGATTTCCAGGCAGCCCTTCAGTTCTGATTTTTACCTTCCAAATAGATCTGGAACCTGTCTCATCTTAATCAGCACTCTTTGTCACATCCACACGAATAGACCATCACTGTTTCTCACCTGGCCTACTACAGCATCTTCCTAACTGGTATCCTGCTGTTCTCATTCTTCCTTACCACCTCCTCGTCAAACACATTTTTCTTCCTGCCACCAGAGTGCTGTCTCTAAAATGTCAATCTCTTACTCCCCTGCTTAGCTCTTCAACTGAAAGACACATTTCTTCACTTGAAAGATGCAGTCCAAGCTCCTTGGCATCATATCCAAGGCTCCCTCCATAATTTGGTCCTACTCGTGGTTCCCGCCACCTCTCCGCACCACAGACAGTACTAGTACTGAGTAGCCCGAGCTACAGTTCTCATTCTGTTCCCTTACCTGTTATACTATTTCCTGTCCTTCCCTTAGAGGGCCAGTTCCTACTCAATGACCCTGGATGTTACCTGTTCCCTGCAGGAAGATTTTCCCGATCCAAAAGCTATATATACATACCTCTCAGAGAACTGACCCTATCCTATGGAAAAGATGTGTTTCCTAGACCACCTTTTCCCTCTGTGTTCTAAGTTCCCCAAGATTATAATTAATACTTTACAAAGTGCCTGGCACATACTAGTTGCTCAGTAAATATCTATCAAAGAAAGGTTTTGCCAGCAGATAAGCTATTATTCTCCTGTCTCATTATTGTTATTTTACTATATTGGCTATTAATACCCAGAATTTACAAGTTTTAAAATGTATTTAATAATAACTTTTAATGGTTTTATTAGAGTGCTGAGTTTTGTTTTGCTTTTTTTTAGCCTTTCTGTCTCCCCTTGGTTATTTTTGTCCTTGGAAGAACCCCAAATATTTTCAGAGAAGCAGTGTGACATGCCCTGGCTGGTGTGGCTCAGTGGATCGAGTGCCAGCCTGTGAACCAAAGTGATGCCAGTTCAATTCTCAATCATGGCACATGCTTGGGTTGTGGGTCAGGTCCCAAGTAGGGGAAACATGAGAGGCAGCTACACATTGATGTTTCTCTCCTTCTCTTTCTCCCTCCCTTTCCCTCTGTCTAAAAAATAAATAAATAAATAAATAAAATCTAAAAAAAAGCCAGTATGACAACTTAAACAGTACATTTTCAAAATAATATTTTTATACTTGCTAACCTTTTGGGGATGAGTAAAGCAAAATAAAGAAGACGCCCTGAGGAAAGACACCACATAAAAGAATTACTTTAACTATGTAAAAACCAGGTGCTGACAGTTTAAAATGACTACTTTTATCCTTAATGCTATTTGAAAATTCCAATCTGTAAGTTTACTCTGGTTTTTATTAATTATTAACAAAAAAAGAACTTTGTTCTTTCTTTCTCTTTCATCCCAGAAATCTTAAACCTAGTCATAAGGAAGCATGTGGCCAAATAATATAAAGTTTTAAGGAAAGATGTTTTAAAATAAGAATTGATCTTACTAAAAATGTGCATAAATAGGAGTAGGAATGGAAATGATTTCCAGAGAGGATCCTCTGATAGATGCATAGAAACACATTTAGATGTCTTTGTAATTACTACAGAATTAAAAAAAAAATTAGTGTTTAAAAAAAAAAAGCAACCAAATGATACAGCAAAAGCTGTATTTCATCAACAACATTCCATAGACAAGTAATGGTATAAAAATAATATATTTTCTTCTCGCTATATTCAGATATTTGTTTTAAGGTTAAAGTGTACAGCTGTTTTCAAATAGTTCTCTTTTGCACATAAACGTTCAGATTTTTATGCAGCAAAGCCCCCCCCCCCCACCCCCAATGATAAATACACAAAGTCTTTGGGCTTTTTCAAAAAATCCTCAGTCAGAATGAGAAAAGGAAAACCAACCTGTTTCAGTGAGCAGAGAGGAGCAGTCTTGAGTGTGGTGTGAATGAAATCCAAAGACCTCTTCTTAACTCCGGTTACTTTTGTTTTCGTTTTATACCCCGCCTTTGTCTTGCATCCAAGAGGGCTTTCCTGCAATTTAACCTTGTGGGTGCTTGATCTGTACTTTTGTATAACCATCCTGTGAAATCAAATCCAAGTTCTTAAGTGTCCTAGGATACAACCCTGAAAGAATTTCATCTTGTTTCAACAACTACAGGCCTTTCAACGTTGCCACTTAGCCAAAAGTAACCAGAAAGCACCTGTGGTTTAGGAACTGACCAGCAAGCTGAAAGAATTCACTCAAGAGTGGCAAGGCAGCTGACAAGCACTCGCAGGTTGCAGCCAAGTCTCTCTTAAGTTGGACTGCCTAGGAAAGAAAACAAAATGGTTTTTTCATCCAGAAAGCTGTCTTTTTGAAAACTAAATTATCAAAGACTAAATTCTAAGCAATCACTAGGCATATCTAGAATTTAATTTTGTATGCCACATTAATATTTCACTTAAGCTATTAGACTCCATTTTGCTTCACTGTACTCGCCTATCCTCAACCTCAGAGGATGCCTTTCCCCGTGACTTTAAACCCCCTTGCCTTCTTGTAACCTTTTCCTTCAGGCCAGCAGCCCATCCTGTGTCTGAGTAAGTTGTTTATTTTCCCCACGTTTTAAACAAATGAAAATTAGAGAAAGATGAGACATTTATGCAGATTTAGCCTTTATGGTTCATTTGAACTCTCCTCTCCTCACATTTACATAACAGTTCTCTCATTCACTGTATAGTCACGCAAGGCTGGGCTCTGTCTCTACCTGCAGAAGTTATTTCAGACCCATGCCATTTTTCTCTCCAAGCAGTTGCTCTAACTCAGTTCACAGAAAAGAGGCTCCAGGTCACTGCAGCCTCTGTCTTCCCACACCTTCTCACAGTACGTGTCTGAGGGTACCGCCAGGTTCTCCTCCTTGTTACCCAGCAGGCTTTGAGGAAGAGTCATTTTCATGTAACTAAACCAGCACACCAGGAAAACCAGTCCCTGGATTGGTGGTGGCTGTCATTTTCCATTGTGTAAATGTTCCCTCTATGGCCAATTTTAAGCTACCAATGTGAAGCCACCGAATGGAAAATGGCTAAGAGGAGAGCAGAATCAGCTCTCCTGAGCAGGCTCTCACATGCTTCTCCCAAAGGAGCCATCGCTTGTATTTACCAAACTGATCGTTAATTTCTTCCTGCCTTCGGAAGGACGCTGCTCTTAACGTTATCCCTACCCCTGCCCTCTCTAGACTATCTGGTCTTTCCCCTCTTACCTCTTGTTCCTTTTGATTTGATACACATCTGGGCAGGAGGAAATGAATGAGCAACCTTCCACGAAATTCTTAGAGTGGCCTACAGGATCCCTCCACCTCTCATTGCCTCTCTGATTGCATTTCATAGTACTCTCTCCTCTTTTCTTGCTTGTTCTGCCACACCATCCTCCTTGCTGTTTTGGAATGTACCAGGCATATTTCCTACTGAGAGCTTTTGTACTGGCTCATCTGTCTTATGGAATGTGCTTCCTCTTAATGTTTGCAAGGCTCACTCTCTCATCTGCTTCAAGCTTCTGTCCAGTCATCACCTTCTCACTGAAGAAATGCCCCCTTCCACCTGTACTTCCAATTCACCTTACCCATAGCACTTACCATGTGCTAATGCACTATATCAGTTGTCTGTTGTCTCTCGCCCTGTTGTGGAATATAAACTTCATCAGGCAGGTACTTTTGTTTGCTTCTTCACTGGTATATTTCAAGTGCTTAGAATAGTGTCTGGCACATAGTATGTCTGCAGTTAATATTTTTGATTTAATAAATAATCCTACTTTTCCTTCTGATTAGTACCCCATTTTACTTGTCCTTGATGCTATACTTCTTCTTTTTTTAATTTTTAAAAAATATTTTATTTATTTTTAGAGATGGTAAGGGAGGGAGAGAGAGAAAGAGACATCAATGTGTGGTTGCCTCTCATGTGGCCCCTACTGGGGACCTGGCCCGCAACCCAGGCATGTGTCCTGACTGGGAATCGAACCTGCGATGCTTTGGTTAGCAGCCCGTGCTCAATCCACTGAGCTACGCCAGCCAGGGCCTTTTTTTAATTTTTAAAATTTTTTTCAGTTACAGTTGACATGCAATATTGTTTTAGTTTCAGGTGTATAGCACAGTGGTTTGACATTTGTATAATGTAAAGATGATCCCCCTGATAAGTCTAGTACCTACCTGACACCACACATAGTTACTGCAATATTACTGACTACATTCCCTATGCTGTGCTTTACATCCCCATGTCTGTTTTATAACTGCCAATTTTGTACTTCTTAATCCCATCACCTTTTTCACCCAGCTCCCCAGTCCCCTCCCATCTGAACACCAATACAGAGTGTTCTCTGTATCTGTGAGTGTGTTCCAATTCTGTTTGTTCATTCACTTTGTTTTTTAGATTCCACATATAAGGGGAACCATGTGGTGTTTTTCTTTCTCTGACTGACTTATTTCATTTAACATAATACCCTCTAGGCCCATCCCTGTTGTCACAAACGGTGAGATTTCATTCTTCATGGCAGAGTAATATTCCACTATATATGTGCCACATCCTCTTTTCCATTCATCTACAGATGGACACTTTGGTTGCTTTTATATCTTGGCTATTGTAAATAATGCCACAGTGAACATAGGGATGTATACATCTTTTCAAATACATGTTTTGTATTACTTGGGATAAATACCCAGAAGTGGGATTGCTGAGTCCTGTGGTAGTTCTATTTTTATTTTTTTGAGGAACCTTGATACTCTTTCTCACAGTGGCTTCACTAATTTCAGTCCCACCAACAGTGCACAAGGGTTCCCTTTCCTCCACATCCTCACCAACACTTGTTGTGTGTTGATTTATTCACTATTCTAACAGGTGTGAGGTATAATCTTATTGTGGTTTTAATTTTTATTTCCCTGATTAGTGATATTCAGCATCTTTTCATATGTATATTGGCCATCTGTATGTCCTCTTTGGAGAAATGTTGGTTCAGGTCCTCTGCTTTATCTAATCCACTATTGATTCCATTTAATGTATTATTCTTCATTTCAGTTATTGTTCAATTCTGACTGGTTCATTTTTGTGGTTTCTATTACTTCATGTAAGTTCTCACTGAGTTCATCTACTCTTACCCCAAGTTCATTGAGCATCCTTATAACCAGTGTTTTGAACTCTGTATCTGGTAGATTGTTTGCCTCTATTTCAGTTTTTTTGGAGTTTTGTCTGGTTCTTTCATTTGGGGCATGTTCCTTTGCCTCCTCATTTTGGCAGCCTCCCTATGTTTGTTTCTGTGTGTTAGGTAGATCTGCTACATCTCACATTCTTGACAGATGGACCTGACATAATAGGTGTCTTGTGAGGCTCCATGACAGGGTCTCCATGGCCACCTGAGCTGGGTGCTCCAGGGCTGTAACCTTGTGTGGGTTGTGTGTGTTCCCCTGTTGTAGTTGAGCCCTGATTGCTGTGGCACATCAGTGGGTGGAACTAACCCTCGGGCTGACTGGCTATGAAGCCTGGCTGTAACTGTAGTTCAGGAGCTGTTGTGTGGACCTGACCCCATGGAGCTGGATTTGATTCAGCAGGGCTGTGGTGCTTGCTGAGTCTACCTTTTGGATGTGTCATTTGTGGAGCTGATTGGGTGATGCTTGGGTGTGATCTGAAGCTGGCCACTGTGTGTATTGGTTCTGTAGCCTCTTATGGGGGTTGGAAGTGGGGAGTCAGCTGCTGTCTATACTCTGTCTGGGGCAACATGGTAAGAGCTACAAAGTGATCTGCCTGCAAGAGGCTGGTGCAAATCAAGGCCAGCTGCCACTAGTACTGGGCTTGGGGCCATTTAGCAAGGGGTACAGGGCAATATTGAGGCCAGTCACTGCTTGTTTGGGGTTTGTGGGCCTTTGAGAGACTTTTTAAAAGTCCATAACATGGTTCAAGACCAGTCACTTGTGTGGAATAGCCACTGAAAGAGGATCAAGGTGGGCGTATATGTTGGGTGGGACAGTCTCAGGGAATCACCTTGGTGAAGGTGGGTGTATAAGTTGGTTGGGACAGTCTCAGGGAATCACCCTGATGGGGCAAGAGTAGTGTTAGCCAGGTTAATGGAGACTCAGGCGCCTGTCTGTGCCTGCCCTCTGTGTGTGGAGTGGGCTTAACAAAGGAAAAATGGCTCCTGCCAGCATTTCCGCCAGCAACTGCCAGCTGCGTCGGAGGAGGGCTCAACAAAGGAACAATAGTGCCTGCCGGAACTTCATCCCGGATGGTTTTGCCCCTCCAGCCCTCATCCTAATGCTAGACAATTGAGATCCTCTCAGCATGCCCCTGGTGCTTTATGAACTGCTATCCCTTTGCTGGAACTTAGGGCGAGTGTTTGTGAGTGAGTGAGTCAGGCCCTTTAAGAGGGCCAAAAGCAGCCCTCCTGTCTCACCTCCATAGAGGGCTGTGCTGATTTTCGCAGCCAGGTGTCAAGGGGACTCCTTTTCCTGCCATTGGTGTTCCAGGTTCGGAAGCCCAGGGTGGGCTGAGATCCCTCAGGGGCGACGCCTGCAGAAGACATACACTTCCTGGTTCTTAACCTCCACTCGTGTGTGTGGGACCAGCCCGTTGTGTGTCTCCACCCCTACTTCCAGTCTCGACATGACTTCTTTATATCCTTTGTTATATGAGTTCTGTTCTGCTAGTCTTCACTTAGTTCTCAAGGGTGGCTGTTGCATAATGTAGTTATAATTTTGATATAGTTGTTGGAGGCGAGCACAGTGTCTACCTACACTGCCATCTTGACCAGCAGTCAATGCTATACTTCTTCAATGACTACTCTACATTTGCAGCTTCCATAATTAGCAGTTACATGATTTCTCTTCAGTTACGATATGTGCATACAGTGCTGATTTGTGAGCTTTTGCTTTTGCTCTTTCGCCTATCTAGAATACTCCTCCCATTTCACCATCGCTCCCTAACTCCTGTTTAGGATTCAGATCAAGTCTGACCTTAGCATTACTTAATACAGGAAACCTTCCTCAGCTCTTCTAGATTAGTTTAGATATACATACTCTTTACTCCAATGCTACTGTCTCACTAATTGTTAGTACTTATTAAAATATTCTATATTCCATAGTCATTTTGCATCCTGTATATAATATCCTCAACATTTAGTTTTGTGCCTTATGCAGAGTACCAGCTTACTGAATAGTTATTAAGTACATGAATGAATCAACAAATCAATCCGTTTTAAGTAACTTATCCTCCACAACTTACAAGTTTAGCAGTGCAATTGTTTCAGGGATATACATTACCTCCCTGTACATTACCTCGTACTCCCACCAATAATGTATGGAAGTGTCTTTTCCCTAGAACCTGGCCTAGAGAACGTGCTGTTTGACTACCACTTTGCTTTCCAAATGGCTTCTAACAGAGTCAGTGCTCCTCCCTCCCTGCCCTTGCCAGCTATGTGTGGTATTTTCCCCCAATTTTTTGTTTTTTTGCATTTTAAAATGGTTTTTAATGTATGATAAGTTTATATAGATAAGCCAACTTATCTTTTTCTTTGATTTCATTTATCATTTTTAAGGTTTA